GGTCTCTTTGGAGATTCAGCCAGTGTTTGGGTCCTGGCTGCTAACAGAAGGCATGACTCAGTGTTGCTGTTGGGAGGAGCTGTGGTTTCTTGCCCATCATTAGGGCTACTTGAGTGTCCATATGACATGGCAGAGTGAGTGACCCAATACAGAGCAAGGAGGAAGCTCCAGTTCCTCTGACTCAGTCTCAAAAGTGACACTCCATCTCTGGTTCATACAGGGAGGATTATTAAGCTTCATCTTTTGAAGGAGAAGGATCAAAAAGTTTGCAGATGTGTTTTAAGTCCACCACGAGACCCCAGAGAAGTAGTGATGGAGCTGGGACGTGAGCTCAGGTCTTCTGCCTTCTGCGGTTGAGTGTCCTGTGTGGAAGGACTATGACTCTCAGGCTGTGTCCCCTCTGATCTCCCTCAGTCACACAGTCAGGCATCTTGCTACAGAAACTGAGGTGGTGGTAACCCAGAGGCACCTAGCCCTCAGCCAGGTCTCTTCTGGCATCACTCCTGGTTACTGGGCATCCTCCCATTGTTTTCACTACAGGTGAAGCGGAGGCTGGACCTGGAAACTGACCATCAGTACCTGGCTGAAAGCAGTGGGCCAGCTCGGGGCAGAGGCCGCCATCAAGGAAAAGGTACCCACGGAGCTTGGGCTGGGCAGGCCCCCTGTGACCAGGCCCGGGTTGGGGGTGTGAACAAACAAACATGCTTTCAGGCTAACGTCTTGGTTCATTGGGCTTGAGCCAGGCCTCTGGGGACCCTGATGGGCAGCTGGAGTCGCTGCCTGGCTTGGTTTACCCCAGCCCTGAGGGTTGAGGAGTTCCCCAGTCAGAATAAGAATGCTGTGGTTGACCTCACCAAGGGGAAGGGGCTGGCTGTCCCCCGGCCCCCATCATCCTGCTGTCCTGCACTGCCACAGAGGCAGGCCTGGCTGGAGGTGGGGTGGATGCTGGAGGGCCCTACTTGCTTGACCACACCCTTACAGGTGTGAAATCCCCGGGGGAGAAGTCACGCTATGAGACCTCACTGAATCTGACCACCAAGCGCTTCCTGGAGCTGCTGAGCCGCTCTGCTGACGGTGTTGTCGACCTGAACTGGGCTGCCGAGGTGCTCAAAGTGCAGAAGCGGCGCATCTATGACATCACCAATGTTCTCGAGGGCATCCAGCTCATTGCCAAGAAGTCCAAGAACCACATCCAGTGGCTGTAGGTACCGGCCACACAGGAGGGCAGGCACACCTGCCCATGCCAGCCTGGAGGAACTGTAGCAGTACCCACTGTGGGCTGTCTGCATCCACATGTTACAGCTGGGGAAACGGGCTCAGGGAGGAGAGGTAGCTTCCCTGTGATGATAGATGCTAAAAAGCACACAAATCTTACATATCCAGCTCAGTTACAGCTTTATTTATTTATTTAATTTTTTAAGATGGAGTTTCACTCTGTCGCCCAGGCTGGAGTGCAGTGGCGTCATCTCAGCTCACTGCAACCACCACTTCCCAGGTTCAAGTGATTCTTCTGCCTCAGCCTCCCAAGTAGCTGGGGTTATAGGCACTTACCACTACGCCCGGCTAATTTTTGTATTTTTAGTAGAGACAGGGTTTCACCATGTTGGCCAGGCTGGTCTCAAACTCCAGATCTGAGGTAATCTGCCTGCCTTGGCCTCCCAGAGTGCTGGGATTATAGGCGTGAGCCACTGTGCCCAGCACAGCTTTACATATTTATTCATCTGGGTTACCACCATTCAGATCAAGATAGAAGCATTTCCAACACCCCAGAAGGTTCTCTTGTGCCCCTTTCCAGTCAGTGCCAACCCCTCACACCACCAGGTGACCACTCTTCTGGTGTCTTATGCCCTCGGTAAGAGTTGTCTGGCACAGATGCTTTCTTTTTGTACTTGTTTTATTTTCCCCTTCTTGCCTTTGCCCTAGTCATCCTGCTACCCTCTCTTTGATACACCTGCCTTTTCATTTTTTGGTAGATTGTTCCATTCTACATCTTTTATGTTTTTTTGAGGGGGTGGGGGGCAGTTTGAGACAGGGTATTGCTCTGTCACCCAGACTGGAGTCTGGAGGCACAAGTAGAGCTCACTGCAGCCTCAACCTCCTGGGCTCAATCCTTGTACCTGTAGCTAGGACTACAAGTACATGCCACCATGCCTGGCTAATTTCTTTAATTTTGTGTAGAGGTGGGGTCTCACAGTATTGCCCAGGCTGGTTTAAACTCCTGAGGCTCAAGCAGTACATCCTCTGACCTCAGCTTCCCAAAGTGCTGGGATTATGTGTGAGCCACCAAGCCCAGCCCATTTTTTTTTTTTTTTTAATTTGACAGCATGACTTGGAAATGCTTGTATGTATGTGTCTAGAGCATGCTCATCCTTTTATACAACTGTAATGTTTCATGACATGTCGATGCCATCATTTATTTATCCTGCCCTGGTTGAGGGACATGTAGGTGTTTATAAATATTCGGGCCAGACTTCAAGCCCATGACACACTGATTTGGATCCCAGCTGAGGAGCCAGACCCAGAGAGAAGCAAGGGCTTGCCTGGGCCTCGCAGAACAGAGGCAGCAGCAGATGGGGTCCTGAGCGCCAGAGGGGCCAGACGATGCTAACCCTACCCTCCCTGGTGCCTCCCCACAGGGGCAGCCACACCACAGTGGGTGTTGGTGGGCGGCTTGAGGGGCTGACCCAGGACCTCCGGCAGCTGCAGGAGAGTGAGCAGCAGCTGGACCACCTGATGAATATCTGTACTACGCAGCTGCGCCTGCTCTCCGAGGACACTGACAGCCAGCGATATCCTTGGACTGGCCGGGGGTGTGGAAGGCAGGCTTAGTGCGCAGGGGTCCCACCCAAGTGGGACTAGAGAGGCTACCCTGGGCCCTGGATTCCGGAGAGGATGCTGGTTTTGGTTGCAAGTTCTGGCTCAGCATTTTCTCATTGTGTGACACTGGATAAATTGCTTAACCTCTCTGGGCCTCAGTTTTAGCTATAAAAGGGGGATAATAATATCCAATTCTGAAATTGTACAGATTAAAGCAGAAAAGTGGCTGGGGTGGCTCCTGCCTGTAATCCTAGTGCTTCAGGAGGCTGAGGTGGGAGGATCACTTGAGCCCAGGAGTTTGAGGCTGCAGTGAGCTCTGGTTGAGCTACAGCACTCCAGCCTGGGTGACATAGTGAGAACCTGCTTCTAAAAACTAAATAATAAGTTCCCAGCAGCAGGCCTGCAGTTGTGTTGAGCATTTTACATGGAATTGTTCCTGGTAGCCATCATCATTACTTTGGGATTCAGTTGGTAGAATAGTTCCATTGTACAGAGATGTGGAACTTGAAACTTGGGAATGAGGTGGCTTTTGAGCAGATGGGGGGGTTGAGAAGACAGGAGTGACTAGGGAGGTGTGAGCCCTGCCTTGTGAAGGTCCTTTGTGAGTTGCTGGAGTGAGTGACCCTCAGAAGTCAAAGTTCCTGTGGTCCTTGACTCTGCCAACCCTGGCCTATGTGACGTGCCAGGATCTTCGTAGCATTGCAGACCCTGCAGAGCAGATGGTTATGGTGATCAAGGCTCCTCCTGAGACCCAGCTCCAAGCTGTGGACTCTTCGGAGGTGAGATCTGGAAACTCTAGGCCCAACTGGGCTGGGCTGGGCTGGGCTTGGGGTCACCTGGGCCTCAGTTTACCCTGCCTGCTGCTTCCACCCAGACATTTCAGATCTCTCTTAAGAGCAAACAAGGCCCCATCGATGTTTTCCTGTGCCCTGAGGAGACTGTGGGTGGGATCAGCCCTGGGAAGACCCCGTCCCCGTCCCGGGAGGCTGCTTCTGTGGAGGAGAACAGGGCCTCTGACTCTGCCACCATAGTGCCGCCACCATCATCATCTCCCCACTCATCCTTCGCCACAGATCCCAGCCAGTCTCTGCTCAGCCTGGAGCAAGGTGGGTGATGGGTAGGTGGGTGGGGTGGGAAAGGGCCACTCTTCTGGGGGGCGGGCAGGCACGACAGCCCCTGTCTTCCTCCCTGCTGGGGCATCCCCGGCCTGTGATGCTCCCCGTCTCCCCAGAACCACTGTTGTCCCGGATGGGCAGCCTACGGGCTCCCATGGACGAGGACCGCCTGTCCCCGCTGGTGGCAGCCGACTCGCTCCTGGAGCATGTGCGGGAGGACTTCTCCGGCCTCCTCCCTGAGGAGTTCATCAGCCTTTCCCCACCCCATGAGGGCCTCGACTACCACTTCGGCCTCGAGGAGGGCGAGGGCATCAGAGACCTCTTCGACTGTGACTTTGGGGACTTCACCCCCCTCGATTTCTGATGGGGCTTGGAGGGACCAGCGTTTCCAGAGATGCTCACTGTCTCTGCAGCCCTGGAGCCTCCTGTCCCTGGCCATCCTCCCAGCCTGATCGGAAACATTTAATTTATACCCCTCTCTCCTGTCTCCAGTAGCTTCTAGCTCTGGGGTCTGGCTACCGCTAGGAGGCTGAGCAAGCCAGGAAGGGAAGGAGTCTGTTTGTGGTGTGTATGTGCATGCAGCCTACACCCACACGTGTGTACCTGGGGTGAATGTGGTGTGTGAGCATGTGTGTGTGCATGTACCGGGGAATGAAGGTGAATATACACCTCTGTGTGTGCACTGCAGACACGCCCCAGTGTGTCCACATGTGTGTGCATGAGTCCATGTGTGCGCGTGGGGGGCTCTAACTGCACTTTCGGCCCTTTTGCTCTGGGGGTCCCACAAGGCCCAGCATAGTGCCTGCTCCGAGAATCCGGCGCTCTGACCAGGCCAGGTGGGGAGGCTTTGGCTGGCTGGGCTTGTAGGACGGCGAGAGCACTTCTGTCTTAAAGGTTTTTTCTGATTGAAGCTTTAATGGAGCGTTATTTATTTATCGAGGCCTCTTTGGCGAGCCTGGGGAATCAGCATAGGGGAGGAGGGGTGTGGGGTTGATACCCCGACTTCCTCTACCCTTGAGCAAGGGCAGGGGTCCCTGAGCTGTTCTGCCCCACACTGAAGGAGCTGAGGCCTGGGTGATTTATTTATTGGGAAAGTGAGGGAGGGAGACAGACTGACTGACAGCCATGGGTAGACGGATGGTGGGGCAGGCCCTCTCCAGGGGGCCAGTTCGGGGCCCCAGCTGCCCCCCAGGATGGATTTAAGATGGGAGAGGTGAGTGGGGGACCTTCACTGATGTAGTGGGCAGGTGGGGTGGTGACGGCCTCCCCCGCTCCCTGCCCAGACCTGTGGTCCCTCCTGTGGTGTCTGAAGCGCCTGCCTCCCCACTGCTCTACCCCACCCTCCAATCTGCACTTTGATTTGCTTCCTAACAGCTGTTCCCTCCTGCTTTGGTTTTAATAAATATTTTGATGATGTTTGGGCTGGGTTTTGGGACTCTGTTGGGAACAGTTCGGGGCGGGAAAGGCCAAAGTTGCTGGGGAAATGCGCATTCTCCACTTCCCTTCTCCCGGATTTGATTTGAGCCTCATAATTCTAAGAAAGGTCAGCTTCATCGCTATTTTGGTCCTAACTGAAAAGCCGATCCAGTAAAGGTTTTTGCTGTAGAAAGCCAAGAATGCTAGTCAGTGCTGCCCGAAGTGCAGAGTAATGAGTGACCTCTTCTCCCCAGCCCTAGAGGCCACTGTGCTCAGTTTGCTGTCTTCCTTCCAGACGCTTCTGGGCCTTAGTAAACATGCAGCAAATACCATGGACTGGTTTTGTGTCAGGTATTTAAAATTTCTGGGGACACAGGTGTTACCTCCCTTCATGGTGCTCTCAGGGTCCAAAGGAGATTTGCACAAATGAAAAATCAGGCTTCCTGGAAAGGGTGGTGCTTGAGCTGAGCGCTGTAGAATAACCAGGAGTTAACCAGAGTAAGAAAACACCAAGCACACCCAGCAGAGAACACGATGGGCAAAGGCCCTGAGCAGGAGGGAGCGGGACAAGGCGGAGAGAAAGCGGTGGCCGCAGGCCTGAGGTGAGGGTCAGCGTTCCATCCTGAGCTTTCATTCAGGGGCCAGGGAGTCCCTAGTGACACCTCCTAGCATTTTGAAAGCTCCCCCTGGCTGCTGTGCGGAGAACGAGTCGCCGAGGAGAGGGGCAAGGACCGTGCCGAGTGCCACAGGGGGCTGGCGTCGGGATGCCTGGGAGTTGGCCGCCTCCGAGCCGGCCTCCGTTGTAAACACTTGACGTTGGATGAGTCCCAACAATCCCGTAGGGTGACTGCCGGTACCATTTTTGCAGATGAGGATACAGACACCCCGAGTGGGGAAGTCCTGGTGGGTTTTACCCACGCGCGTCACCCTGACTTCGGCACTGACTTGGTCACTCTTCCCCTCCGGGTGGGCGCGCAGCCCCTTGGTTCTGCTCTCGGCAGGTCGCTTCCCCCTCGCCGTGGTCGCTGAAGCGCGGAGGCCCGCGGGACTGGAGTTGGCCCTTGCGGCGAGAGAACCCGGCGTCGGCGGGGGCTGGGCGGGGCGGGGGCGGGGCCTGAACCCGCGCGTCGGCGCCGGCGCCAAAGGGGCGGCCCCCAGCCCCCCCCCCCAGAGTCCGCGGCGGCGTCCAGGGCTGGGAGCGACCGCAGCCGAGCCCCAGCGAGCGGGCGGCGGCGCCATGGCATGCGCGGGGCTACTCACCGTGTGCCTGCTCCGGCCGCCCGCGCCCCAGCCCCAGCCCCTGCGACGTCCCCAGCTCGCGCCCGACGCGGAGCCCGCCGGACACGCGCTCTTCCAGGACGTGAGTGGGCGCGGGCTCTGCTCGCTGTGTCTCCAGCCCGAGGCTCTGTCGGTCTCCCCCTCCGGGGCTGTTCGGGCCCCTCTGCTGTCTCTGGGTCTCTGCCCCTTACTCTGCCCCTGATGTCTGTCTCTGGACCCCTCTGCCTTTGTGTCGCCTGTGGTCTCTCTCTGTCTCTCCATGTCTCCCCTTGTCCCTGCTCCAGTGTCGCTGCCCCTGCCGCCCCCCACACCCCGCAGCCCACCCCATCTGTGTATCTGGTGTTGGGGGGGCGCTGTCGGCAGTCACAGCAGCGGTCACCCCACTCTGGCAGCCCAGACTGGGCTGACTTGGGAAGGGGAGGCTGGAAGTACGAGGGGCCCCTCACTCCTGACTCTAGTGCCGCCCCTCTTCCTCGAGTCCCTCAGTCCCCACTGCAGGGCAGCAGAGTTCTACAGTTGGTAAGAGCTGCTCAGAGTCAACCCTCCCATGAAGTCATGGGTGGACTCGTAGCCCCCATGGGCACCAGTCAGGGCCCTGAGCCTTTCTCCATCATTTACCCCTGTGCTTGGCTCTGTCCTGGCCCCCTTATGCCCCAGCTCCAGAGGGGGGCAAGGCTGTCTCCCGCCCCCTCCCCACTTCCCCTAGTGACTCAGCACCTTGACCACAGCCCTGGCTGGAAGGGACTGGACCCTCCCTTTTCCCAGGTAGGAAAACCAAGGCCTGAGGGGGTATGTCCCAGGTCAGTAATGGAGGCAGGAGTGCAATAGGGTGACCCCAGGTGTCTCCATTCCCAGCCTAGCACCCCTCCCTGCACGCAGTACTCCATCTACCCCGCCCGGGCCTCCCTGGCTTGCTGTGTGCCCCTCAGCCAGGGGAGACCTTCTCTGAGTTAGGCTAGAGGTTAGAGTCTTTCCTGAGCCCTGCTGACCCTGAGAAAACAGGACCCTGGAGGGTGTTGGCATTCAGGACCTGGAGTTCATGGGGGCTCTCGGTCCAGGCTTGGCCCACCCTGCTTGCCAGGCCTGCCAGTCTCCCCTTTGCTGGGCTGCTTGGGGTGACCAAGCAGTTCACTGAGAGGGATGGGGACCTGTCATGACTCTGCTCCTCTCTGCCTCTGTTGCTCTTCTCCACTTCTAAGTGAAATCTTACGACCTCATCTTTTGCCACCCCCACTCCCACTTGCACGTGTGTGTACACACACGCCTACCGAAGTTCCTCACAGTCAGCCCCATAGGAGGCCCTGGCCCTGAAAGGGTTAACCCCCAGCTGCCAGTGGAAACTCAGGCACCTGCAGAGACAGAGTAGCCACTGCCTGCTGTGGGTCTTCAACAGCATGCAAGGAAACAGCTCAGAGAGGGCAACTGGGATAGACCATGGCCACACAGCAGAGCTCAGGGCTTAGTTCTAGGATGGTTGTGCAGGATTCCTGGGCTGCAACCTGGCCCATCCCCTCAACCTTCCTCAAGCTGGGACTGTGCCAGGGCTGATGCATCAGATAGAGCTCGGGCTGCACTGGGTGTGGGAGGTGGGGACACAGGGAGCTGGCCAGGCGCACCCCCCACAAGGCCAGGCCCTGCAGGAGAAGTGAGCGGGGGTGGCACCCACTGCGTGCTCTTCCTGTGCCCCGCTTGCAGGAAAAGCTCCTGCAGGGCTGAGCTGGGCAGGGGTTTGGGGCCAGGCTGAGCAGAAAGAAAGGCGAGGCAGGGGGTAGGCCGGCCAGCTGGGCCACTGTCGGGTTAGGTGGGGGCCTCTGGCTTCCCGGATGGCACTCACAGCTCCCCCCATGTCCCTTTACCTCTAGGTTTTCCGCAGAGCAGACAAGAATGGTGAGTGTGGCTTCCCCTGGGTCCCATGGTGGGGGGCAAGGTGGGAGGCATCCAGGAGGCCCGGGGAGAGTTGGGAGGTTGGGTGGGAAATCTAGAGTCGAAACAAATCTTGGGGGCCCAAAACAGGAGAATCACTCAAGGCATCCTTCCCAGAGGAAGTGCTGTTCTCAGCCAAGTTTGACAGGACTGAGAGTGGAGGGAATGTGGTTGGGCCAGAGGCTGACTCTCACACAGCACCCTGGCACAGTGGTGCACATTTCCTGTACATGGCCTCACGTTGCCCTCACAACCACCAACTAGATTGGAATTCACCCTATTTTACAAAGGAGCAGAAGCCCAGAGAGATGAAGCAGGTTGCCTAAGGTCACACAGCCTTTAACTGATAGGCTTGAACTTGGGCCTCTGCGGCGTTTAGTCCCAGGCTCCTTGTGTGAGACACTTGGACGAGTGAGGTAATGGAGATGAGGTCTCTTTGGAGATTGTACTCAGGTTTTTATCAGTAACTTGTCATGTGACCAATCGTCTGGACCAGGGAGGTTGTGGAGGACACAACTGAACCCACGCCTTGGGCAAGGATAAAGCTGGGTCCGGGAGTCAGCTCCTCCTGCCTTGGGTCCTGGTCAGTCTCAGACCCTGGCCTGGGAGAACCTTGGAAGCTATAGCAGGATCCCTACATGACCCAGCCAGCAGCAGCCTGCTCTCCCAGTGACTTGGAGCAGCCGGCTGTGCCCTGTGTGGCCAGTAGAGGGTCTGAGCTTCGCAGTCAGCCTGGGGCTCCTTTCATCTGGGTCTTCACACCCTCTTGTGTTTCATCCTCCTAAAGATGGGGTCCTGTCCCCACTCCTTGCCCCTTCTCCTTAGGTTTCTTCAAACTGATGGGAATTGTTTGTCCCACCCCATTGATCAGGACACTTGCTCTCACTTGGACCAGGTCATTCTCTCTGGGGAGATTCAGACCGTCCCCTGGCTCAGCTCCCCCCACCCATCTGCCCAGAGACCTCACACATCATTCAGGCCAAATCCCATGTCTGATTGTCCCACATAAATGCTCCCAGCCTCTGCTCACATGCCCCTGTGATGGGGAGCTCATTCCCTTCTAAGCCAGCCTGCTGCTGCTTGCAGAGGCTCCAACTAGTAGGAAGGTTCCATCTGCCTCCCCCTGGCTTCTCTGCGAAGGTCCTGGGTCCAAAGCATGGAAGTTCCTTGTGCCTTACAGCGAGGCTGGTACCTAAGTCCTTTCAGGTGACATCTAGGCCCTGCCACACTCTGGCCAGGTCCTAGCCTGTTGCTTGTTTTTTCATTTGGCAACGAGTTACTGAGTTCCTACCCAGGGCTATGCACATACTGCCCTGTCCCTTGGGTGCCTGCAAAGTAGATTCTGTTGCCTTCAGCGGTCACCTTTGAGAACCCCAGTCCTTTTGTCCTCAACAGTCAGGTCCCCCACAGAGCTCAGATTCCCATCCCACCAGGCTAGGTGGCGGTCAGGTGCTACGAGGCTCTTGGGACCCTGGACCTGGTGCCTCAGTGCAGTCAGGGTCAGGGATACCTCCTCTGCTCCTTGTCCTCCCCCTGCCACCAGATGATGGGAAGCTCTCATTTGAGGAATTCCAGAATTACTTTGCCGATGGGGTTCTTAGCCCGGGGGAGCTACGGGAACTGTTCAGTGGCATTGATGGGCACATCACCGAGTGAGTATGAGAGGGGCTGTGGGTAGATGTGAGGTCAGGTTGTCTTTACCCCGCTGTGTCCTCTGCTGCCTTGGTTCCTTTTGTAGGATGAGAAAGAGGGGGCAGGGAGAAAGGTACCAGGGCTCGGTTCCAACTTTACCCACTCACCTACCTCTCTCCAGCTCCAGCCTTGCCCACTACACTGCTTCCAGCTGGGACCCCAAAATAGCCAAGCCTGAGTCACCACCCATGGCTCAGCTCCCCATTCCCGCTTCCCGCAGGGACCAGAGGATGCCTGGGGACAGCTGGGCCCCGCCTGCTTCCACCCGAGAATGCAGTGCATGAACACACACACCTCCCCTTGTGTGCTCCCACATCTACACGTCTTGGCAGGAGTGTGCATGCGCTTCTCTGTGCCTGCTCCCAGGGGTGCACACGCACGAACCGCTGTTCCTCCCTCCACTTCCCTTCTCCCATTTCCTGAGGGTCAGTCTTAGGCTCCCAAGACTTGAGCTGGAACCTTCATCTGCACTGCTCCCCCTCCCCTACTGGCCAGACACCCCAGACAGTTCCTTGTCCTTCAGGGCCTCACTTAGGCAGCTCCTTCTCTAGGAAGCCCTCCCTGACCTACCAACTAAATAGCCGGTGCCATCCCTGGACTTCCGTGTACCTGGCTTCCGCCCTGCAGCTCTGACCACTTCTCGCTGGCCTGTGTCCACATCTGTCTTCCCCTGGCCTGAAATCCTCTTGGAGGCCAAGAATGGGTCTGAATCTTTGCCCTTAGAGTGATTGGTGGGGGCAGTAGAACCCATTCTCTGACCCTGCCAGGACTGTCCACCGGAACAACTTGATCTGGGGCAGAGCAGAAGTGGCCTCCTTGTTAGGCTGAGCTGGGAGTTGGTGGGGTGGCAGGTGGGGCATTGGCCCCATCAGTCCCAGTTTACTAGGCCCAATTCTAAAGGTCTGAAGGGTGCCTTCTCTTTTCCCTGCAGCAATTTAGAAACGGAAAAACTGTGTGGTAAGTAGGCCCACGGGAGCTCTTGTCTCCCAGGGCCCCTGGGTCCCAGGGTAGGTGTGGCAAGGGGCTGGTCTCCTGATGGGACAGGTTGGGCTGGGCTCAGTTTACAAGACCTGCTTGACTGCTGAGGATTTCCAGGGGGCCAGAATCCCAGGTAGATGGGTGGGGGTCCAGGAACCCTTGAGCACCTCTTCTGCCCACAGACTACTTCTCAGAGCACCTGGGCGTCTACCGGCCAGTGCTGGCTGCATTGGAATCGCTGAACCGTGCAGTGCTCGTTGCCATGGACACCACCAAGCTGGTGAGTGGAGTGGCTGATGGTGGGGGGCCACTGTGAGGCAGCAGGTGTCTGCTGTCCTGTGGGATCCTCCACAGTCTTGACTCAGGGTTATGGAGCTAGGGGCTTGGGTTCAAATCCTGGCTCTCCCACTTTGTAGCTGTGCCCCTTGACCTCTCTGGGCCTGTTTTTTCAACTATAAGCTATCATAACAATAGAGTTACCCTCCATACATCATTGTGATGAGTGAGAACGAAGGCGGGGCTTTTGTCTGTGTTGTTCTGTTTCCAGCACCGAGAAGAATGTCTGGCACACAGTAGGTGCTGCATACTAGGGGCTGCTGTTGCTTTTGTTACTGGCCCCTCACAGCTGTGATGGGTATCATGCAGGGCTGGGCTAGGCGTGGGAGGCTGTGCTCACATGTTCACAGGGCAGCGCCTGGCTGAGGACATACGTGAGTAGGCAGGTACGTGAGCACCCATGTGTTTGTGTGTACATGTGGACGTGTATCTGCACAAGCACAAACAGTGCTGACATCTGGGGCTTGAGTCCCTTGAGTGGGGACTTCAGAAAATAAGTCCTCCCCTTTGTGTGTTCAAGAAATACCATCACCTCCCTTTGCTCCATAGCTCTTGTAAGGGGGAGGGAGCAGACTGGGGGTGGTGGCTCAAGCCTGTAATCCCAGCACTTTGGGAGGATGAAGCAGGCGAATCACAAGGTCAGGAGTTCAAGAACAGCCTGGCCACCATGGCAAAACCCCTTCTCTATCAAAAATACAAAAAAATTAGCCAGGCATGGTGGCGCGCGTCTGTAATCTCAGTTACTTGAGAGGCCAGTGCTGGAGAATCACTTGAACCTGGGAGGTGGAAGCTCCGGTGAGCTGAGATTGCACCACTGTACTGCAGCCTGGATGACAGAGTGAGACTCCATCTCAAAAAATAGGGGGGTGAGGAAGGAACAGTGAGCAGGCCCGGGATTGTGCCTGACCCCACTTTTTACAGAAGGGGAAACCGAGGCACTCAGTCAACAATCACCTGTGCACACAGCGGGGCACAGGGCTCCTCCTGGTGATTTTCACATGAGATTTAGTAGCTTTTCAAAGGATTGTCCCTTGGGGCCTGGCATGGGATATGTGTCCAAACGGTACATGACGACAGGTTGGAGGAACTCCCATATCTGTGTCATGGAGACAGGTGAGGGCATCACCTTTATTGCCATGAAGTAGGGCTTGGGGGTGGGCAGCTAGACTGGCATTCTCTGAACTGGCAGTGGTTGGGAAGATTCAAACTGCAGTTCAAAATGAGGGTCCCATGGGTCCCAAACACCTCCTCCTGGCCCAGAAAGGGTATGGGGGTGACCTGTCCAGTCAGCGCCAAGCTTCAGGAAGACCCTGCCAGCTCCAAACACTTGAGACTTAGATAGAGAGCTGCCCTCCACCGCGGTGCCCCACCCCCACCCCAGTCCAGCCTAACTCAGTTGAACACATCATACAGCAGCCTGGAGCCACACTCCTGGTACATGGCCCGGGTTATCCAGCGGCGCCGGAAGGGGTGCAGCGAGGCCACCATGGAGCCGCCGGTCCACACAGCCATGCCACGCCCATGCTTGGCCACCAGGTGGGGCCGCAGGGCCGCGTAGCCGTGTCGCCGGCACTGCGCCTCCAACTCCTTGTCCAGACGTTCGGCGAAGCCAGGAAATAGCGTGGAGCCGCCGGCCAGCACCACGGTGCCGGCCAGCCGTGTCCGCAGCATTTGGGGCATTTTCTGCAGCGCCCGGAAGGCCAGCGCAGGCAGCCCCGGCTCATCCCGGCCCAGCAGGCCCGGCTGGAAGATGGGTTCGGGGCAGCGGAAGCGCTCGCTGCCGAGGCAGACGCAGCACCCGTTACCGGTGCTGAAACTGGCCGGATGGTGGCGGGCGGGGTCGCGGAGGTCGCCCTCGAAGTCCAGAGACACATAGCAGCTGCGCTTCTTGAGATGCGTGATGGCCTTACGGGGCAGGGCCTTCTGCGAGAGCTCAGGGTCCGCCGCCAGCAGCAGGTCCCGTAGATGGCGCGATAGGGTGCTGCCCGCCACGTTCAGCCGGAAAGTGGCCTGATGCCACGAGTGACCTGCGTAGATGGGCGTGGCGTGGCACACGCCCGCGCCTGCCTCCACGGCCAGCCCACTGAACGCGCCGGTGGAGCAGAGCGCCAGCAACGCGGTGCTGGCCATGTGGCACGCGGGCACTGTCAGCGTCTCGAACAGCAGCTCCGCTACCCTTTCGCGGCTCGAGGGCGGCGCCGACGGCGAGGCGCTCACCAGCACGGGCCACTGCTCCGGGCACACCCGCAGGCCGCCCACCAGCAGGCGCTCCCACAGCCCCTCCAGGGCCTCCCAGTCCACCACGACACCGTGCTTGATGGGGTGCGCCCGCGCCACGCCGCCCGCCAGCTCGCAGCCCGGGGTGCCGGGCAGCACCGGCCGATCCCAGCTGGGCACCAGGCTGGAGCTCTTCAGCACTATGCGCGGCCGGTTCTCACCCGCAAAGCCCGCCTTAGTGAAGCCTGAGCCCTGGTCCACCACCACCGCGATACGGCCCATTGGGGACAGCCGGTGCACACGAAGGCTCCCAGACACAGACGATACCTTCGGGCTCAGCCCCACCCTTTCATGCCACTCGGCTTGGTCGGCCTGAGACCTCCCGGACTCTGTCCTAGAGAGTGGTCCCCCTCCGGGCCTAAGTTCCTCCTGGGTCCGATCACTACCCCTCTCAGCTCTTGGCTCCGCCCTCTGGTCGGAAAACCCCCGGCTTCCTCTGTCCTTGCCGTCTGCCTCCTTTTCAGCTCGTGGCACTTGCCTGTGCCTGAGGCCCCGCCCCTAGTTCAGGCCTCAGTCTCGGCTCTGGCTGCGCTCCAGCTGCTTGTCTCCACCTTCGTCTTCCTCTGGTGCCGGGCTCCAGGCTCCACACCTGGCACTGGGCCCCACACTCAGGATTCTCCTCTGCTTTGCTGTTCCACCCAGTCAGCCCTTGCTGAGATGGCTGACAAGATGGCTAGGACTGACCTTTTAGAGTCTAAGAAGCCTCCAGGAGGAGCAGAGCTTTGAGGATAAAGAGTCCTTGTGGCAAGGCCATTTGGACATATATCCCTGTTGGGGACCCAGGCAGCCTCCTGGCACCTCTCACCTGGGCTTGACGGAAGTTCCTGGTTGTGGAGTGGGTGGGGCAGGTCAGAAGGCTGAAAGGAACTTGGATTGGGCTCATTGTGACCTCACTCCTCAGCACTTCGGCAGCCCCCTACCCACGACAACTCCCTGAACCCATCTTCTCTCCTGGGCAGGGCCAAGGGCAGTGATTTTGGCATCCAGGGGCCTAGCTTCAGCAGCCCAGCACAATTAGTCTGATTCCTTTCCCACACCACTTAGAATTATCTGATGTACTCTGGCCAGATGTGTGGCCCCTACCCTCCCAGCAGCAAAGAAAAAGCTTTTAGTCACAGATCTGCAGCCGCTCTGAAAAGCCAGGAGAGACTCTGACCCTGCCATTAGGGGCTTCTGCAGATGGAGTCACGTGGACCTGAGTTTGAGACTCGGTTCTTTTTTTTCTTTTGAGATGGAGTCCACCCAAGCTGGGAATGCAGTGGTGCAAACTCGGCTCAGTGCAACCCCTGCCTCCCAGGTTCAAGTGATTCTCCTGCCTCAGCCTCATGAGTAGCTGGGATTCAGGCGTGAGCCACCTAGATGGGGTTTCACCATGTTGGCCAGGCTGATCTCTAACTTAAGGTCTCAGGTGACCCACCTGCCCCGGCCTCCCAAAGTGCTGGCATTACATACAGGTGTGAGCCACCGCTCCCAGTGAGACTCAGTTCTGAGGCTCACTATGCAGTCCTAAGCAAGTCTTGTTCTTTCTCTGGGCTTGGTTTTCTCCTCCAAAAGGTAGTAATAATCCCCCCACACAGGAAAGAGGCCGCTTCTTGTTTCTGCAAAGCGTCAGTATTCTCTCCAGGACCAATTTGGTTGCAAGTAGAAGACTCAGGTGAATGTAAGACAAAATAGGGACTTTATTACAAGGATCTTATATGTTTTGGATACCAAGGGCAACAGTGAAGTCAGGTTTCAGAAACAGGCTCCGACCTCGGGGCTGTTGGAAACGCAGGATGTTGTGCACTGTCTTTGTATTGTGTTTTTATTCTGAATATTGGCTTTATCCTGTGCATGTTCAAGTAGAGAACATGGTCTCTTACAGCTCCTGAATGACAGTCCTAGGGGGAGGGGCTGACAGGGCCAGGTTGGGCCAATTACTGTATGGGCAGGAGGTGCGGTTCCATGGAAGAATATGGTTACCCTGATTGTAACCATGTGGGTGGTAGGGAAGAGTCAGTTCTCACAATTAGCAGGAATGATGCTATAATCTTCAGCCTGGTGCAGGCAAGGTGGAGGAAATGCTCATCAAAGTGACGGTGACAGCAGAAGCTGGGCTGGTGGCTCTAGTGAGCTGGGACCTCCAGTCCTGCTGCACCTGCCCCCACAAGAAGGCATCCTGAGGTTGGTTGCCAGTGTGTGGCAGGAAGGCGGGCTGGAAGTTCGGCAGGCTGGGGGTGGCACTGAGGTGTGGAGCTGCATTTGGGACCCAGAGGAGTGAGAAGTGGCAGGATCCAGCCCACAGAAAGTGGCAGGGCCTCTTCTAAGTGATTTGGGGAGTGAGGCTGAGGCTGGGGGCTTTTTCCCTGTAGGTAATAGAGCTGATGAGCAGGGGAGTGGGCTGCCCTAGACAGATAAGTGGTTTGGAAGAAGGCTTTGTCATGTGGAGAAGGAGATGGGACAGGGTAGGTTGGGAGACAGAGGTGCCTTAGGGAAGACCGGGGGTTGAGTGTTTTGGGGTTACCAAACACAATGTGTAGGCATGAGATGCCAGAGGCCCAGGGTTTCCAGCCTCTCCTGGGTGCGTCCACAGCAGAATCCACATCTCAGGCCTTGCTCCAGCTGACTGTGGTGTTCTGGCTATCCTTCTAGGATGGTGCCTGTTGGTCTGGGACTCTCCCTCTGCCTGAGGGATTTCTGGATGCTGGGGGAGATGGCAGGCTTTGCTGGAAGCAGGTCTCCCTCACTAGCGTGGCCATGCCTGCGTTTGCCCAAGCCCACCTCGAGCCTGCAGACTGGGCGCGATGTGACTGGGTTTGGAGTGTTGGGGAAAGGAAACAGCGTCTCACCACTGAAGCACGGTGTGGGGTTCTGTTCTGACTCTTCGCGCAAGGAAGGAGAAAGCAAAAGACAGCCTTAGCTCCAGACTGTGGCGGTGGCTCTGCCCTCAATACGGCTGTTCACCCCGGTGCGGCTCCCAGCCTCCGCTTTGCCCAACCCGACTCCGCGCCCGGACGCCTCCAACAGGGTTCACAGGCGCCAGGGTTGCCACAAGCTCTTTATTGGAGGGCCAGGCGCTTAGATCCGTGAGCGAGGGCAGTGGTGCTGTTTGCGTGGCTGCTCTTGGGCGGGGCCGGCCTCACCGGGTGCCTTGCCTGGGGACCGCAGGCGCGGGTGCAGCCGCGGCCAGCTCAGCGCGGCCCGGGCCCGGCCCCGTCCCCGTCCCCGCGGGAGGTACCGGTCACACCTCTTCCGGCTGCCGCACAGCCTGGGCGCCACCGGGGGGCCCAGCCCGCTGCCTGATGCGTCGTCACCCGGTCGCCCAGCCTCGGCCAGCGGCTGCCCTTCGTCTAAGGGGAGAAGCAGCGCGATCCTGGTCTGCAGGTGGAGCAGGGGTGTGAGGAGGGAGAGCACGCCGGGGCCGAACCCACGACCCGGGGCCACCCCGCCCTCCTCCTGGGACTCTCATCCACCCTGGTGCTGTTATCCTCCCTTGCACAGGGCTGGAGGGGACACCTGTCCAATTCAGGCCCCGGGGAAGCCCGCCTCTCCCTGCTGGGCGCCCCGGACTCCGCCTCCCTCTGGAAACCGTCATCCATCCCAGGCTGACTTCCTGAGACCAGGTTTATGAGATTCCTTCTAAGCTCTATGTCAGGGGCTCTCAGCACCCCCTACCCCCGCCTGGTCCAGGGTCTCTGCTAATTTGAGAGGGAGGCAAGGAAGTTTTGAGTCTAGGAGCTGAAGAGAGGACGAAAGGGGATTTCCCCTGCCCCTAGCTCCAGTAGTACCAACTGGGACTGATTCTCCTGCTTGGGACCTCCGCCTCTTTGTCCAGAGTTGGGAGAGAATCCCACTCATACTCACACCCCTGGGCTCTTAAGTCTCATCCACCTTCTAGTTCTGGCATCTCTGCCCTTTATTTTTTTAAAGACTGAGTCAAACAGGGTCTTGCTGTATTCTCCAGGCTGGAGTGCAGTGGTGGTGTCAGGGCACTGCGTCGCGGACCTCCTGGGCTCAAGTAGTCTACCTCAATCTTCTGAGTAGCTGGGACTGTTGGGCATTCGCTACCACACCCAGCTAATTTTTTAATTTTTGTAGAGATGGGGCCTCCCTATGTCACCTAGGCTAGTCTCAAACTCCTAGGCTCAAGTGATCCACCCACCTTGCCCTCCCAAAGTGTCGGGATTACAGGTGTGAGCCACCTTGAAAGGACCCTTATCTACACCTATGTGGGCTCCTGGGATCCTCATCCTCGGGAGAGATTTTCCAGTTCCTCCCTCACCCCATAGGACTTCACACAAGGCCTAGACTCTCAGCATCCCTTCCCACCCACCTGTCCAGCTTCCCCTGACTCCCATGGGCCTTCCTAGCCCTGCTCCCCATCCCCCACACTCACAGCTGGCTTCTTCTGAGTGAGGTGGCTGAGGAACTGTCTCCACCAGGCCTTGTCCATGTCACTTGGCCTCTCCTTGTGGGCTTGCTTGGGTGCTTTGGTCCTTCTGTGGGATCCGTTGTTTCCCATGGCAGGGCTGGTCACCACTGGGGACCATGGCTCACACTCCATCTGCTCTGCCCCCTCAGTCTTGGCCACATTGTGACCTCATGGGCTGACCTCACCAACTGCAGGCTCTGAGCACAGCTTCCCAGGGCCCACAGGTGGATCTGGGCTCTATTCGCTGTTACTTCTATCTCGCCTTGGTTTCTCAGCTTTAAAACGGCTAATAATTGTAAATGAGGCAATGCATGTGAAGTGCTGAGTGTCGAGTAGAGGGGATTTCTGTGGTTTAGCTATGAATTTTGGCCCTGCCACTAACTTGCTGTGTGACCTTAGCCCAGGTAATCAACCTGTCTGGGCCTTAGTTTTCTCATCTGCAAAATGGGGTCAATTATGGTTCCTGTAAATTGTTACAAAGGCTAAATGAGGCCCAGCATGGTGGCTCACGCCTGTAGTCCCAGCACAGTGGGAGGCTAAAGCAGGTGGATCACCTGAGGTTAGGAGTTCAAGACCAGGCTGGACAACATAGTGAACATACAAACATTAGCCAGGTGTGGTGGCACAGGCCTGTAATCTCAGCTACTCGAGAGGCTGAGGCAAGAGAATTGCTTGAACCTGGGAGGCAGAGGTTGTAGTGAGCCAAGATCATGCCACTGTACTCCAGCCTGGGTGACAGTGAGACTCTGTCAAAAAAACAAAAGACTAGGCCGGGAATGGTGGTGGCTCATGCCTATAATCTCAGCACTTCGGGAGGCTGAGGCAGATGAATCACCTGAGGTCAGGAGTTTGAGACCAGCCTGACCAACATGGAGAAACCCCATCTCTACTGAAAATACAAAATTAGCCGGGTGTGGTGGTGTGTGCCTATAGTCCCAGCTACTTGGGAGGTTGAGGCAGGAGAATTGCTTGTACCCAGGAGGAGGAGGTTGTGGTGAGCCCAGATGGCACCATTGCACTCCAGCCTGGGCAACAAGAGTGAAACTCCGTCTCAAAAAACAAAAAGGACTAAATGAAATTCTTAGAATAGTGCCTGGCTCTGAGTGGGTGCTTCTCTCAGTTCTCTGGCTGCAAGCAGCAGAAACTAATCATCTCAAATACTTGAAAGGGATCTTTTTTTTTTTTTTTGAAAGATTTCATGGAGATAGAAACTTTGGCCTGAGAATGAAAAGACTCAGCCTCTTCTTTGTCCCTGTCTCCCAGCTCATAAGCCTGGCCTGGGAGGTCCCATCTGACAGCTGAGCTGAGGCAGATCATGGCATATAAAGTGTCTGATAGAGAGGCCTCTGGAGTCCCCTTGGAGAGGGCAAGCACCTGGACCACAGCTCCCCAGGACTCCCACCCTGGCCTCGTGTGTGTGTGTGTGTGTGTGTGTGTGTGTGGTGGGGTTAGGCAGTTCTCAGGGGTCTGTGACTCCTGGGTATACAAGTGGGCAGGCTCCTTAGTGTATTACACTTGACCATAGACGGCTGGCAGGTCTGGCATTGAGAGCTTGTGGGCCAGACCCCGGGCTGAGTTCTGTGCAGGAATTCACTCCTGGGAGCTTCTTGCAGCTCCATGTGCTGAGTTTCCTCCTTCCTGTTTGATAGATGAGGAATTGGAAACTCCAGCAAGTGCAGGTAGTGGAGGAGTCTTGGAATCCCGTGATGGGCCATGCAGGGCCTAGCATGTGGGCAGCCTCCCTGCCTCTGTGCCACCCTGGGAGGAGCTGGGGGGAGGCTGACGGTGTTGGTTGGGGTCAGTACTGGTGTGTGTGTGTGTGTGTGTGTGTGTGTGTGTGTGTGTGTGTGTATGGCAACCTGATTCTTTTTTTTTTTTTGCCAATCAGTTTGAGCTTATGAGGTTGCTCAGATTAGCCTTGAACTGATGACCTCGCCTTCATGAGCGCCATGACCTCCGGCAGGAGCCACTTTGGACCCCGAGCAACCTGATTCTTTTATCAGCAGCTCCTAGTAAAGAGCGCCCAGTGTTTGTTGTGTGCATGAGTGAATGAATGAATGAGTGAATACATAGATTATGAGTCTGGGGCCGCACCAGGCCATCATTTTGCCTCATGTGTCAAAATTTGCCCTTGGACACCCTGTGACAGCCCCCACCCAGCCTGGCTGTGGGACCTCACCGGCTATGACAAGTGCTAAAGGTGGTAGCCCTGACAGAGAAGGGGCCATGAGGTCCAGATAAGCCAGGCACGCTGGTGGGCAGATGCCTCCTGTGAGTTGGCCTCACACCCCCCTGGAGGAAGCCAGGCCTGGACAAGGAGGGATCCAGGCCTCCTTGGCCTTCTCAGTGTGCCATCGGGTCTCAGTACGCTCCTCCTGCCTGTGCCTGGTTTGCATGCCCCTAGTCTGATGGGCAGGAGGCAGAGGACCCACTCAGAAATCAATGCCCGGGCTGGGAGATGCTGACTGTGTCCCCTCGGCCCACAGGAGTATGAGCAGGCCTCCAAGGTGGACCAGTTTGTGACGCGATTCCTGCTTCGGGAGACAGTGAGCCAGCTGCAAGCCCTGCAGAGCTCGCTGGAGGGGGCATCAGATACCCTGGAGGCCCAGGCCTGTGGCTGGCGGTATGTAAGGGCCCTGCCTACCCATGGGACCAGTGCACAAGTGCCCACTGTGACCCCATTCCAAATCCCCACAGTCCTAGCATCCTGGCAGGGAAGCCATAACGGGTGAGATGAGACTGGTTTTGGGGCTGGGCCTCGGAGTCCCAGGAGGCCTGTCTACCTCACCCAGGCCTGTCCCGTCCTGGGGTCCCAGTCCTCAGCCCTGTGAGCCTTACTTCCTCTAGGTCAGATGCAGAGAGTGTGGAGGCACAGAGTTGGCCCCACAGCAGCCGGCGGGCAGGGCGCCGGGCCCTGAAGAGCGTCAGCTGGTCATCCACCTGGTCCCACAGCTCTTCTGACACAGGTGCACCTGGGGTGGGGTGAGAGGCGTGGGAGGCTTGGGCGAGGCAGGCACCACATCCCTGATTCCACCAGGGTCTGTTCCTCTGCTGCCCCTCACTTCATCCCAAGAACATCTTGGGCCTGAGAGGCCCCTGCCTGACCCTGCATGGGTCCCACCCACAGGGCTCAGCTCAGAGGCCGAGATGCAGTGGCGGCTCCAGGTGAACCGCCTCCAGGAGCTCATTGACCAGCTCGAATGCAAGGTGAGAGCTGCGGGACCAGGGCCCAAGAGGGAGAACCGTCCTGGCATCTGCCTGAGCCAGGGCCACTCTGGAGGCCTGGCCCACACTCTGTGCCCTCACAGGCCCCCCGGCTAGAACCGCTGCATGAAGAGGACCTGGCCAAGGGGCCTGACTCGGTGAGCCCAGGAGAGGGCTGGCAGCTGAATGGCAGGGTCTGGGGGTGCTCATGAAGTGGGGGTTCATGGAGCCATCTGCCCACCCACCCTCCGCAGTGCTCACATGCCCCTCTCCCAGGCCTGGCAGGTAGGTGCCGGGTTCTGAGACCCTGCAGGAACTGCTGCCCCTCTCTGGGCTTTGGTTCCCTATCAGCATTTCTGAAAGCCAGGTCTGTGGCCGTGAAGCTGGAGGGCGAAAGGAAGTGGTAGCGTACTGCAGGAGGGAGGGACAGTGGCTGGGTCAAGCAGCACCCTTGGAGACAGAGGAGGATGGAGTCAGGGAAGCTCGGGGGTAGGTTGGTGGCTCATGCTTGTAATTCTAGCACCTTGGAAGGCCAAGGTGGGAGAATTGCTTGAGCCTGGGAGGTAGAGGCTGCCGTGAGCCATGATCCCACACACCACTGCACTCCAGCCTGGATGACAGCTGCAGAGGACCTCCTGGAGGCCACAGTCAGCCCTTCCCCTGTACCTGGCCCGGGCTGACCGGCTGCCTCTCCCACCAGCACATCCTTGTGGCCCAGAGGCAGGTCCAGGTGGCAGAGGAAGCCCTGCAGGACTTCCACCGAGCCCTGTGCTGCTATGTGGACTTCACAGGGGCCCAGAGCCATTGTCTGCAGTGAGTGCCCAGCTGGAGGTGGGGAGGGGGTGAGCTGGGGCTGGCTGTCCTTGGCCAGGGCTCCCATGAGACCCCTGGCAGGGAAGGCAGAGGTGGTGGCAGCCCTGCCCTGGCCATCTCTTTGGCCCCGCAGTGTGTCTGCCCAGAGGATGCCAGACAGTGCCTCCTTCACCCTGTATGAGTTCTGGCAGGACGAGGCCTCCTGGAGAAGGTATGAGTGCCAATCTGGCCAGTAACACTGGAGTGTGGCCCTGGAGTGAGTCAGGCCAGGGTTCCAATCCTGCTCACCTGCTTACTGGCTCTGTGACCTCAGATGAATGACCCTACCTGCCCGAGCCCCCATGTCCTTTCCAAAATGGAGGTGGTAACAGTTCCACCTCCTGTGGGCTAAAGGAGGTGACTGGGAAAACCTGAATACAGTACAGGCACTCAGTGAGGACACAGTTGTCACCGTGGGCCACATCCTATGCCAAGCACCTTGTGCGGTGTCCTTCATTCCACCTGCATAGTGTCCTCATGTCACAGAGGAGAGGACTGAGGCTACAGAGGCAGCATGAGGAGGGCGGGGGTCTGATCCCGGCAGCAGGGCAGGGCGGGAGTGGGGAGACCGAGGCTTGGGCAAGGCAGCCTGGGTCCCTCCACAGGCACCAGCAGTCGCCCTGCAGCAAGGCCTTCCAACGCGTCCTCATCGACCACCTGCTGGCCCCAGACACCCTCACCACTGTGTTCTTCCCAGGTGCGCAGTGGCCCCCCACTCCCTGTGGCCGGGAGGGACAGTGGGCTCCTGAGGCCTCCTGACCTCCGCCTCTGTCCCCCAGCCTCCTGGTGGATAATGAATAATAACTGAGCCAGACCCGCACACGCTGAGGACCCCAGGGCCCTGCCTGCCTCCCTCTGGAGTCTTCTGGACTGGCCAGCCCAGCGCAAAGACCAGGCCTGCCTCCTCCTGGACCTGAGCCTGGTGGAGGGGCTCGGCCCAGGGATCAGGGACTGGGCTGCTTGCTTTTCATTGATTGATTTATCCATATATTTTACTGTTTGTCACTTCAGCCTCCAAACTGCTTGGGCTTCCACCTGGCTCAGGAGGCCTGGATTCTGGTCCCTGCTGTCCCTGCCTGGCCGAACGACCCAGGGCGGGTCCCATCCCTCTCTGGGTGGGCCTTGGGCCAACTGGCTGCCTAGTGAGGATCCTGCTTTCTTCCTGCTGTCTCAGGGTCAGGCTTCTGCTCCTCCCCAGGCAGCAGCAGAAGCAAGGCTGATGCTCAGGGACCCCCCCAACCCCTCAAACCTTGCCTCCTGAGGCTGGGCCAGACCTGGTGCCCCATCACCCTCTCAGGCCACCAGGCTCTTGACTCTTCTAGCACCCATGGATGTGCCAGAGGCCTCTGGGTTGATTTGCATGCTATTTGCATATCATTTGCATGCCCTCACCCACCCATTCTCAGGGCACTATGGGAAGCCCGAAGGTGACCTTGCCAAGTAGCAATAATTTGGGCCCAGGGTCACCTATTGCCCCCAGAGGCCTCTAACCCCAGGTTGGGAGCCCCGTACAGAGGCAATAAAGGCATTAGTCCCTTCCAGTGTCGCCTCCTGTCTCTCGCAGGGCTGGGCCATGGGGCTGTGCGCCTCCCAGGCCAGAAGCTCCAGGCAGGACACCTCTCTCTGGAAGTCCTCAGTTCCCACCTCCTGCGCTCATGCTCGCAGAGTGGATGCTCATAGGAGTTGACACAGGTTTCTCACTTCAGAGTCCCCAGCCCCGTCACACCTGATGGTGGATCCTGCCTGAGTGACATGGGCCCTGCGGGGTTTTCGGGGGTTCTGGCTTCACCCAGAGCTGCCTCCAGGCCCAGATCGCTTGGCCACACTCCTGTGGGGACACCTGTCCTTCCACCAAGCTGGACTTGTCGCTGCCACTTACATAAAGTGGTTCTGGGCGGACAGTGGCTGAGTCAGCCCTACTAGTACCTGGGGGTATCCTCCTGCCCCTCTCCATTACGGGGGGCATGGAAGGGAGGTGACTGACAGGGACATCTAACCAGCTGCTCTGAAGAGAAGGCTTGGCACTGCAGGAGCACAGGATGGCATTTGACCTGGCCTGGGAGCGTTGGTGTCAGTTTTCCAAACAGAAGAGATGGCACATGGGCCCCGAGGAGGAGAGCTCGCCTGGTTGATTTTTTTTGTATTTTTACACCGGGCTAATTTTTTTGTATTTTTAGTAGAGACAGGGTTTCACCGTATTGGTCAGGCTGGTCTTGAACTCCTGACCTCAAGTGATCTCCCCACCTTGGCAGTGCGGGCGGGGACGTCCAGCAAGGTCAGGGCCCTCTTAGGACAGTGTTTGGTTTGAGCTGTGAAAGGTGAGCAGAGGTCCCCGGGCAAGGGCGAGGACAGAAGGGAACCTTGGAGTGTGAGGGCTGGGGCGAGCTGAGGCGGCCAGGTGTGTGGGAGTGTAGTGTTGTCTTGCAGGTGACAGGATAGACAGGAGGGTGCCAGACAGTGGTGATGGACATGGGTGGGGGTGGAGCTGGGCTGGGGCTGTGGGGACCGGAGGAAACCCTCAAGCCACTACGTGGTCTGTTGAGCTCACAAACCCACCTCATCTGCAGCCCGTCATCCCTACTGCTGCGCCTTGCCACACCCCAGGTCAGGGCCACTGTCCTCTCAGGCCTGGAAGACTGCAGCAACTTCTTCACCTGGCTCCCATCCCCTGTCCATTCCCTGTAGATACAGCCAGAGAGGGCTTTCAGAACTTTGCCATTTTGAAAAATGCACCTCTCTGGCCAAGACCATTCAATGGCCAGGGAGGTGCATTCAGCATCAAGGTCATAATTTCATGCCTTGCCATTTGAGGCCCTTAGCAATAGAACCCCACTCCCAATCTGTGCAGCCTCCTCTCCCCAAATTACACTCCAGCTGCACTGGGCCATTTGCAATCCAGTCACCCTGTCTGTGGCCTTTTTCCTGAGCCACCCCTGTCCACTGTAGAAATGCTTTCGCCGTGAGGAGCAGGTGTGTGCATTGCACTGGGGTGCCTTTCCTAATCCTGCTCTTGGTGGCTCTTCAGATCCTTTCGACAGCCACTGGGCACCTGCTTTATTGCAGGTGCTGGTGATAGCACCGGTCAAAGGCAGGCAGATCCCTGAAGCCAGGAAAGTTCTGGGCTCCTGGGCCAGCTGCCGCCCCCCCATCCTTCCACCCACTCCCTGCACCTGCCTTCTCCTCTCCCTCACACCTGCACCTGTGACTCACCTGTACATATTCAAACCTGTCCCAACTGCCAGGCCAGGCTGGAGACAGCAACAGTCTAGATGGTGGCCAGTGCCCTGCAGCTCTCCTAACAAGTCCCCTTAACACAGCCTCTGATGGGCTGAAAGGAAGGGACTGAGAATTAGGTGGTCTTCAAAAAGTTTTTCTTGAAACATATGACTTGAGCAGTTCACCAGGCTTCACACACAGTGCTGGGCACAATGTGGTTTCAAGGAAACCAAACAGGTTATGGCAGCAACCAGTTTACAGCATGCCGTGGGTGTTTACAGGCCCTGTGCTAGGGGCTGCACCCATGTTGTTGATTGCATTTTACCCTTGTAACACCCCAGAGGTACAGACATCGTTCACATCCCCAGCTTACAGAAGAACAAGCTCAGTGAGGAAGTGCCTTGCTCTGGCTCACGCAGGAGGGATCCACTCCCTGGCACCAACCGCTGCTAGCCGTTGCTGGGAGTGAATGGTGCTAGGAGAGGGCAACTTCTGGGAGCAGAAACCAGCCCCGGCTGGAGGAGGCAGAGGAGCTATACCATTAAGAAGGAATGATAGATGCCAGGCCTCGGGGCCTGCAAAACGGCAGACGGGGCAGCAAGGATGAGTCCGGTGTGAGGGGCTGGGTGAGCCCCGATCACTTCTGGAACTCCCTAGGAGGAACCCAGAGAATGTTAACTCATGGGCTGGAAAGGCAGCCTGAGAAAAGGCTGATGTGAAGGGGAAGGAAAAGTGGCTGGTGTGTAGTCTGGAAAGGAATCAGGCTCAGGGATGGAGGCAGCCCGGGGAAAGTCCAGCTCTGTCCACGAGAGGGCTCCTGGCAGCAGGCAGTAAATCCCACCTGAGGAGAGGAGTGGGGCTGGTGGCTGGTTCCCACAAGCCACTTGGGAGGAAGGCTAAGAAGGGGACATGCCTAACAGTGACCCTGACCCTGGAATACCAGCAGTCAGAAAGAAGTGGAGATGGGCAAGAGGTACGTTTGCTTCCCAAGATCCTATCCCCACCTCAGGACAGTCATCTTTCTGCTGAGAAACGCCAGTCAGCAGGCTCCTGGAAGCCGCCCTTGGTAGCATGAAAAGGTTTTTCCCAATTAACCTTCCAGAGGGATGGCTCCTTCACAGGTCCCAATTCTTTGTTTCTGACAAAGGTAACTCGACAGTAATTTTTTCTTCAGATTGACGTACTCTATTGTTGAGTAATGCACTTCTTCAATGATTGTCATTTCCAGATTCTATTTTCAAATCTGCCTAGTCATTTTCAGAGTTTTTGCTCATTGTTTTCCAGTGCCACCTTTAGAGGTTTCATATTTTATATTCTGTATCTGGTGATTCCAGTGTCTGAAGCCCCAGCGGTCTCAATCAATTATCGTTCCTGACGACTTCGCTCACGATGGCTCATGTCCTTGGAGGTTCAGCAGTGTTTCTGGACAGTTTATAATTTGTTGACACATGGTATTGATCCTGAAGGTCCTTAGAGAATTATCCTAATTTCTCAGCTCCAGGATTCCTTGACCTTCCTTCAGTATAAATCTGAACCCCAGCCCCAAGAGAGAGAAGACCTAAAATAATAGTCTCTGGTGAGATTTTTTTTTTTTTTTTTTTTTTTGAGACTGGGTCTTGCTCTGTTGTCCAGGCTGGAGTACAGTGGCACAAACATGGCTCACTGAAGTCTCAACCTTCTGGGCTTAGGTGGCCTTCCCACCTCAGCTTCCCAAGTAGCTGGGACACAGATGTGTGACACCATGCCCAGCTAACTTTTTAATTTTTGTAGAGATGGGGGTCTCACTGTGTTGACCAGGTTAGTCTCAAATTCCTGGGCTCCAGTGCTTTCAGCCTCCCAAAGTGCTGGGATTACAGGTGTGAGCCACTATGTGCAGCCCGATTCTTTTTTTTTTCTTTTTCTCAAGCAGGGACAGAGATGTTTCCAATTTAGTTTCCATTGTAGATGGGCAGATTTTCCCGCTGCCTTTTCATGGTGCCAAAGGTGCTGAGCTACCTGCCTTCATGGAAAGGCCCCGGGTTTGTTTCTGCACTTTGTATGCTCAAAACCAAGTCTCACATTGCCCCTGGAGGCAGTCAGTCCCTCCAGCTCTTGAGTTCATGGAATGTCCTATCTACGACCTCAGCAATGCAGTTGAGTCATGGCCGGGCGCGGTGGCTCACGCCTGTAATCCCAGTGCTTTGGGAGGCCAAGGTGGGCGGATCACAAGGTCAGGAGTTCAAGACCAGCCTGACCAGCATGGTGAAACCCCATCTCTACTAAAAATACAAAAAAAGCCAGGTGTGGTGGTGCGCACCTGTAATTCCAGCTACTTGGGAGGCTGAGGCAGGAGAATCATCTGAACCCAGGAGGCGGAGGTTGCAGTGAATGGAGATCACATCAGATCACTCTGGGCGACAGTGAGACTCCATCTCAAAAAAAAAGTACATTCATTATAATTTATCTAGCATCTGGGTGTTTTGCCGTCATGAAAAGATTTTCAGTCTGCCTTTTTGTTTTTTTTGAGACAGAGTCTCACTCTGTCGCCTAGGCTGGAGTGCAGTGTTGTGATCTTAGTTCACTGCAACCACTGCCTGACAGGTTCAAGAGATTCTCCTGCTTCAGCCTCCCGAGTAGGTGGAACTACAGGTGTGTGCCACCACTCCTGGCTAATTTTTTGTATTTTTAGTAGAGATGAGGTTTCACCGTTTTAGCCAGGCTGGTCTCGATCTTCTGATCTGCCTGCCTTGGCCTCCCAAAGTGCTGGGATTACAGGCATGAGCCACTGTGTTCGGCCCCCGCTTGCCATGTCTATGGCACATAGCTTTCCACCAGCTTAGTGCAGGGCTGACAGTCCCATGGCTGAGATCTTGTCATTGTTCTAGGTGGGCGGATTGCAGTGCGGCCCACAAAGGTTTGCAGTTGGCACCACCTGCATCAAAGATCACAGAGCCAAGCCGCAGGCCACAGGCCAGCCCTTCTCCCTTTGCATTCGAGAGGACTGCGAAGCTGGTGCTGCCAATCAGCCTCCTGGGCAAGGCTGCTCAGGAGAGATGGGCCTCAGGCAGAGAGCACAGATGGGTATTCGAGTGACAGAAGTGAGGTCTCAGCTCACCAGCTGGTAAACTGGCCTAGCAGCCTGAGATTCCACACACAGGTGTGCCTGTACCAGCCTTAGGGCCATGCAAAGTACCACCCAAGGGCTGCTGGAAGTAACGGTGCGCTTTTAGGGAGAGTAGTTTGAACACTTCAAGGATCCAAGAAATGTTCAGCATCAAACATCCCACTTTGGGAAATTATCCTAAGGAAATAAATCATGCAAAGGAAGAGTATGCATAGATGTATGTCGTACCGGAAACTGGAACACGATCCAACTGTCCAACGGGAGGTGAGGTGAAGAGTTAAAAAATCGTGCTACTGCACTCCAGCCTGGGCAGTAGACACCCTCCCCGCCATCAAAAAAAATTACTTGAGGAGTAACAAGGAGTGTCTGGAAGGTGCTGTTGGCCCTGACCACAGGCCCACTGGTGGGCTCCAACAGCCAGCCTGGTTGGGCCTGGTCCCCAAAGGGCAGTGACTAGCTGCTGCAGCTGGCTTCCCAGAGAGGGGAGCTCCAGGCTCGTGGGGTGCAGGGACCTCCTGCTTCATTTCCTTGGGTGCTCTTCAGGCCACGACTAGAACCAGTTGGGGCCGCTCTGTCCCACTTTCTCAAGAATTTGGGGATTAGGGCAAGGGGTCGTATCCTAGTGTAGGGACCACCTTCCCTCCCAGTTCCATTCCAGCTTGAGGCAGAAAAGGAATATAGCCTTTTTATTGACTACTTTAAGTAGAACAAACTAAATACATATTTAACAGTTTTGGTTCGTTTATACAGTACATTAAATAAGTTATGCACAGAGTTAAGTAACAAAAGTTCCTATCAGAGTAAAATGACAACGCACAGAAAAACCAGACTGACGCATTCTGTGGGTGGTTTCACATTCATCATCCCCCTTTAAAGATCACGCATGGAGGCTTCGTTTTCCATTTATTTACATTGACTTTCTTTTATGAGTGGAGCCTTTGTAGCCTCGTCAGGAATTTGGAAAGCCATGTAAGGGCACTGAAGGCCTCTCAGCCCAGCAGCCCTTTCAATCATTTGCCTAATACTTATTGCTGCTTCTCTGCTGACTCCAAGGTAGGGACAGGCTGTCCCTGACAGACACCAGCGCACATGCCCTATTTGGTATAAGCATCACTGAGTGTACATTGGGCAGCCATAGGCCCGACCACATGGGGTCTGTGAGGGAAGTTCCACGTCGGGGGCTGCGGAGGGGGAGGGGACCTAAGGCCCACCCCTCAGGCCTCCTAACCTTCTCCTGGCTCATGATGGAAAAGGTCACCTGCACCATCATCTTTGGAAATGAGCATGTCAATGCCCGAGGGCAAAGAGGCAGGTAGTCAATGTTTTGGTTTCACAAGAACTACAGACACTCCAGAGTTGGAAGGGCCCTGTGAAGCCGCTGGCGCAGCCCCTGCCACAATCTGGGCAGGGCTGCTCTCGACAGCTGGCCATCTGGCCTGTGCTCGAGTCCACGTTCTGCTGGCTCTTCTTCCATTTGGTTCAGACTTGCTACCACCCAGTTCTCTGCAAACAGCTTAAAAAAAAAAAGAATCTAAGGAGGTTGGTTTGGTCTTCTGACCTGGGAGCCTGGAAACCTTGTTTCTAGTTCAGTTCTAAAGAAAGCCTCCAGGAAGTGTTGTATTTTCACTGATTTATTCAATTCATAATCCTTTCTACGATTTCCAGGACAGATGGTCGTCTGGTCATTCTGAAAAGCTCACTGCCATACGATTCCAGCTGTGCTGAACCTTCAAACACACTTGCTGAGATACCCTCTAGAACTACCCAGAACGTCTATACCCTTTGCAAGCAGGTGATGAGGCTGAGGCTCACTAACTCCGGGACAGGGCTGTACAAAGCAGAGTGGATTTTCTGTCTGGAAGTTGGAACTGTCAAGTTGACACCAGTAAGAACTCCTGATGACCTTGTGGTCCAAATGGGCAAAGGAAGTCCACGCTGCAGAGAGTGGGCAGCAGCTGAGGCCAGGTGTGGACTTGTGGTGGGAAGATGTGTTCTGTTTCCAGACTCAGACCCACTGACAGACTAACCCAGCACCGCCCTAGAAATAATCCACGTGATATGTGACCACATGTTCACCCAACTGGGCCTGAGCGGATCTGCTAGAGCACCAGCCCCAAAACTGCAGGGCCCAATGTGGAGTGCCCCCACCTCCTGAGGTGGGCTGCCTAGGCCTGGGCTTAAACAACTTCTTGAGTCACCTTTACCACTGGATAGTCAGGCATGATGCAGGCAAGTGGGGACAAAAAAAAAAAAAAAAAAAATCGAAGATGTGAAACCCGGCCCTCAAAAACTTAGGACATTTGGCATCTTTGGTCTTCTCTGGTTCCTGCAGTCATTCCTCACTTGGCGGGGAGACCTTGATGTCCCAGAACACATCAGTGCCGTTGGCGGGAGGCGCTGAGCACTGATCTCATCCTAGACATGTCTGGCTGATGGCCATTCACATGTCGCATTTGCTTTTTGGTTTCTAGGTTTCTGTACCACCATGCCAGCCCCTCTCTGCCTTTTTTAACTGCAAATATTAACCATGGAGGTCAGTTCTCTAAGCAGCTTGAACTTCTACTCCCAACCCAGTAGCTGAGGTGCTGCCAGCAGAGACTGGAAGCCACGCAAGGAACCTGCACCGCTCCACTGGTGCTCCTCCTCCTGACCAGAGTTGAACTTCAGAAAGGGATTCCTGAAATGTGAATAGGGAGTCCTGGACAGAGGCCCTCATGACTTCTGTGTGAAACTGACCAGAATTAACACAGCCAAAGGTTAATCAGCGGAGCTTCGGTGTGGAATACTGCCCAGGTTTCCAGATAAGCCTCTGCGCAGCACAGGAGCAAGGTGGAAAAGCATTACAAAGACTTAGAAAACCAAACTGCCGCAGGAACCACAGCCCACTATAGAAGGCCAGGCCCTGCACACCAAACCTAAGCCTTAGCTGTAGACATGGGCACTGGGGTTGCTAAATATTATTTTGTTGGCTTTTGGCTTCTTATTCCAACCAGTAAAAAGCATGAGCTACCCTGGGTAGGTTTGCGGCCACTGGAGATTTTTAAAACCTGCTTAAGGTGTTCATCCAATGAATCCATGAAAAACCAGTAAGGTGGTATAGAGGCCCTGTGACCTTGTCAGACAGCCCAAGGGCCGAGGCTTACTGAGGCAGGTGGGGATGGGAGAATACCAATGTATTAGGACTGGAAAACTGGGTCCTGTGTGTTCCACAGCAAAGTAACATGATCCTCTGCTGTTCTTTCCCTGGTCATACCTCACTTTAGGCAATGGAAATCTAGGCATTTTAAAGGTGTCGTGTACTAGGTTTCTTTGTAAGACTGAAAATGCTTGGTTACAGTAAATTAGGGACTTGACATTCTTAAAGTAAGATGTAGCTGTATGCAACAAGACTGTGTGGATCCCTTTTCCTCTATGGTACTGATAGCTTTTATTTTAGACTCTGGTCAGTGCACAGAAGGTCAAGATTCAACCTGTTTCAAAGGCCAGCTGGAAACAAGCCAAACTTAATCCAGCTGATTCTTGGGTGTGAGAGGATGCTGGAGGCTCGAAGGTGGAGAGCAGGAGGGTCGGGTCCACAAGACTCCCATCAAAACCCCAAAAGACAGGCCAGGAGACCAGCCTGGCTAACATGATGAAATCCTGTCTCTACTAAAAATACAAAAATTAGCTGGGCATGGTGACGGGCACCTGTAATCCCAGCTACCCGGGAGGCGGAGGCAGGAGAATGGCTTGAACCTGGGAGGTGGAGGTTGCAGTTAGCCAAGGTCATGCCACTGCACTGTGACAGCAGGACTTGGTTGGAAAAAAAAACCCAAAAAACCAAAAGAGAAGAAATGTGGGAGGCAGTTCCTAACATTCTAGGTGATGTCCCATTTGAAAGATTGGTCAGCTTTTCCCAACATGGTTCTCCTATTTCATGAAACCTTTCTGATGAGCTGCCAGATAATACAAGAGAAGGAAACAGAAATTGTGTGCCTGATAATAAATCCACTTAGTAGGTGTAATGACCTGAAATGATGAGGTTTGAAGAATTCTTTCAGGTCCAGAAGGGCTGCTCAGATGAGACCAGGCCTTGAAGCGGGGGTGAGTCCTACCAACCTGCCACAGCACGTCCAGCAGGACAACTGTGGCTCAGCAGGTGCCAAATAGAGCCCATGGGCAGAAGATGCCCACAGCAGTCCAGATGTGTGTGGTCTGAGATGAAAGGACACAGAACAAGACGACTGTACAAACAGCCAGGTGGTGGGAGAAGGTCTGTATTTCCATGAGATGATCCACTCAGGAACTGGACGATACTAGTTTGGCCAACATGCTCAGAGAGAACAGACTATCCACAACCGAGTCTCATTCTCTCTCAGACCAATCCATGCGCTGGAAACTATTTTCTGCACAAGCAAAATCAAGAGAAAAAAACGGGTCCCAAACTAAAGTAGCCAGCAAGGCTGGAAAATCTTGTCCAAAATCATCTGTGAGGTGCGGGAAGTTTTATTTGTTTGTTTTTGCTACTATGGGTGCTTTTATTGCAACAGTGACTTCTTTCCTGTGGACTCTTGAGATCTGAACAAATCTGAAGAGCAGGGTTGAGAAGGGAGTCCTGAGTGCCGCCTGTTGCTTACCCAAGTCCCCATGAGGCCAACCAGTGTCATCTGCTGAGGGTGAAGATGGGGCCGAAGGAGCTGTTCCCTATCCAAGGGGCTTCCTCCACCAGCCTGCTGCCCGCCACCTCCAGCCTAGCCGGGCACATTCAAAAGTCTCCTGACTCAAGGAGATGGGGAGGGGAGCTGGTGGTCTACACTGAGAAGGACCTGGCTAAGCCAGCTCAGTGGGGAGAAGGGCAACCAGGAAAGCCATGGAGGTGGCAGTGGGGCCAGCCGGCTGCACATGTGCAGAGAAGGGCACACTGGCTCCACAGATGGCAGGTGCCCAGAGAGGCTGTGGGTGCTATTATTCAGGTTTGGCCTCTTCCTGCCTCCAATTCTTGCTGATGACCCAGCAGCTACATGCATGGGTTCCGACAGCCAGTCCCTTGTTCCAAATGTTCTGTGGTACTGAGCGGCCATCAGGGTAACTAGAGTCTGGGGCTCAGAGGCCGTTGGTGTCGATGGCTGTCACAGAGGCAGGTGTTGAGGAACGCGAGGTGGTTGCCGAGGTCTTGTCCAGGGCTGGGCTGGGCACGCTGCAGTCGGCGGACCTGGCAGAGGAGCCCCTGCCTACAGGAAGCAGCGGCCGGCCCTGACCGTGGGGGCTCTGGCCATGCAGGTTCTGACCACAGAGGCGGTGGTGCCGCTCCCAGTCCTTGTGCTGGCAGAAAGAGCCGCAGTATCGCGCGATATTGCAGCCACTGCATGTCTCGCTGGCTTTGCGGCCACAGTTCCAGCAGTTCTGCAAGACACAGGCACCAGTTAGTGGCTGCTGGGATTGAGGGGCAGGCTTGGCATTCATCCCCTGCACAGTAAAACAAGGGGCTGCACGTAGAGAACCCTAGCTTTGGAGCTACATATACCTGTGGTCAAGTTCTCCCTCTACTGCTGTTTATGAGAAATATACACCTTTCTGAGTTTCCTTCATTTGTAAAACAAGAAAACTCTTTAACTGCTGGATGACAGGAACAATGAAATGAAGGGTGCCTAGGACAGGTAGCCATCTCTTCTGCTGAAGGCATAGGCTCATCTTTTAGATTTTAATAGTCAGAAACCAAACCAAACTCTGTGCCAGGGTCTCCCCCAATAGCCGTCTATCCTAAGACCACGTGTAAAGACTAACATTTATCCTGCTCCTTTCTGCATGTGCCACCATGCCTGGCTACTTTTTGTATTTTTATATATATATATAATATCTATTTACTAGAGACTGGGTTTTGCCATGTTGGCCATGCTGGTCTTGAACTCCTGGGCCTAAGTGATCTGCCTGTCTCAGCCTCCCAAAGTACTGGGATTACAGGCACCTGGCTGATACTGCATCTCTCACTAGAGAAATAATCTTCTTTGTTTTTACTGATAATCTGACTTAACCAAAGCTGCTGCTGGTTTTTTTTTTTTTTTTTTTTTTTTTTTTTTTAATTTATTTTGGAGAAAGGGTCTTGCTATTGTTGCCCAGGCTGGACTTGACCTCCTGGACTCTAGAGATCCTCCCATACTCCCACCTTAGCCTCCTGAGTAGCTGGGACTATAGGCGTGTGCCACCATGCCCAGCTAATTCTATAATTTTTTGTAGAGACAGGGTCTCCTTATGTTGCCCAGGCTGGTCTTGAACTCCTGGCCTCCAAGGACACTCCCACCTTGGCCTCTAAAAGAGCTGAAATTACAGGCAAGGGCTACTGTGCCTGTTCCCTAGTAATTATCAGACCAATAGGACGGGAGCTGCTATACTCATTAAACAGAGACGAAGACTGACTCCCAGAAGAGTGCACTGCCAGTGTGAGAGGGAAGTGGGATCAGAAGTCAGGGCCTCTAACCTCCAGTCCTGGCCTCCTTCTTCCCCCATACCAAACCACCTTTCACAAGATGAACAAGAAACTCCAGGATACCTGCTAAATTTCAACGACAATATTCTGGATGAATATTCTTGATGGTCAGGAATCAGCCCTTTTAGTCCAATGCAAGCTCATCCAAAGGACAGGCTCTCTGTCCCTTCCCTGCTTTTAAAAGTGATTTTGCAGGGATGGGTGCTGGTGTGCACCTCACCTGGAGGCCATTTTGAGGCTTGTTTAAAATTACAATTCTTTAAAAGCACAATTCTGAAAATGGAGAGCTGGGATTTAAACCTACGCAGTCCAGATCCAGGATGTATGCTCTTAGCCAAAAGCTATACTTTTCCTTTGGAGACAGATATAGTTAAACACAGAGATAAAAGTAGATAAATATAGACAAATACAGATCCTGATATGGATGGCTATAGATACATAATTAAACACACAGAACAGAACAGATATATCACTCTCAAAAACGATTCTCTTTTTTGTATCTGAGGCAGTTTCATTCTTGTTGCCCATGATGGAGTGCAACCCACCTCCTGGGTGTCAAGTGGTTGTCCTACCTCAGCCTCCCAAGTAGCTGGGACTATAGGCATGTGCCACCACACATGGCTAATTTTTTACTTTTAGTAGAGATGGGGGACTAGGCTGGTCTTGAACTCCTCACCTCAGGTGATCCAGCCGCTTCAGCCTCTCAAAGTGCTGGGATTACAGGCGTGAGCCACCATGCCTGGCACAATTCTCTTTTCTTTCCCTCTCATCTTGCCGTTGTCATCACCTTTTTTTTTTTAAAGAGATAGAGTCTTGCTCTCTCACCCAGGCTAGAGTGCAGTGTTACGATCATGGTAGCCTTGAACCTCTTGGGCTCAAGCAATCCTCCTGTCTCAGCCTCCAAAGTAGCTGGCCTATAGATGTGCGACACCATGCCTGGCCAACTGCAGAAATGGAGTCTCACCATCTAGCCCATGCTGGTCTTTAATTCCTGAGCTCAAGTGTTTCTACTACCTCGGCTTCCCAAAGTGCTGGGATTACAGGCATTGGCCACTGCATCCAGCCTCAAAAAACAATTCTAAAGAAAAAAGGAGGAGGAGAGAAGGAAAAGGGAGGGGGGTTAAATAGACTGATTTCTCTTTTTTTTTAAATTCATATTTTCTGTAAGCAAGAGACTGTTTTCTCACAACCCGCAGTAACTATATTGAAGAGCTATAGTAAGTTATTTCACCACATCTTTGGTGACCCCCACAGGGTATTTAGGCATTTTCAGCTGCACACTGCTATGCCTGACAGCACGATACTGAAATGGACAATATAAACGACAAGAAAGTAACATTTCTATGGTTTGTTTAAAAGAAAAAGTCCTTCTATAATCCCAGGACTTTGGGAGTCCAAGGCGGGTGGATCACTTCAGGGCAGGAGTTCGAGACCAGCCTGGCCAACATGGCAAAAACCTGTCTCTACTAAAAATATGAAAATGAGCTGGGCATGGTGGCACACACCTGTAGTCCCAGCTACTCAGGAGGCTGAGTTGGGAAAATCACTTGAACCCAGAGGTGGAGGCTGCAGTGAGCCGAGACTGCATCATTGCACTCCACCCTGGTAAGAGTGAATTCTTTTTTTTTTTTTTGAGATGGGAGTTTCGCTCTTGTTACCCAGGCTGGAGTGCAATGGCGCGATCTTGGCTCACCGCAACCTCCGCCTCCTGGGTTCAGGCAATTCTCCTGCCTCAGCCTCCTGAGTAGCTGGGATTACAGGCACGCGCCACTGTGCCCAGCTAATTTTTTGTATTTTTAGTAGAGACGGGGTTTCACCATGTTGACCAGGATGGACTTGATCTCTTGACCTCGTGATCCACCCGCCTCGGCCTCCCAAAGTGCTGGGATTACAGGCGTGAGCCACTGCGCCTGGCCCTGAATTTTTAACTTCAAGAGAATGTCCCAAAGACAGCTGGTCTCCCGTCCAGTAGATGAGATCTACCTACTTACAGAAAGAAACCCGTTTCTTGTTTTAAAGCTAAAAAATGACTAAAATGAAAGTTATAGAAAAACGGCATGAAATTGGAAAGGGCTGCTCGAATGTTTTGGTACAGGTTGTTTTTGTTTCAGTTTGTGCATTTTTCTCCTCACTGTAGTATCCAAGTGTCCTGTACGGAACCATCACCAAGTCCTGGGCCCTGAGTCCTGGGCAATCAGGCAGATATACCCAACCTGTTACTTCAGTCCACAAGCCAGCGATCCTATTTTTAAAAATTCTAGATGCTAAAGGACCCTGCACGTTCTTACTCCTCTACCCTACCCTGACTTCAGCACTGACGGAGTGTATCAGTTACATTCCCTGAGCCACAGTCTCCTCATCTGTGAATTAGAGATTCAGCATTATCCACCTCATAGGGCCAATGTGAGACTCAAAAAGAAAACAGGCAGCTTCGCTGTGTGTCTGGCACACAGTAAGCTAACTTTGTCAATGCTGGTCATCATCATCATCGTGCAATTACACAAACTCTGTTTTTAGGGTGAATTCCCAAAATTTTAACCCATACACTGAGCCTCTCTCTCTATGTGTATGTGTGTAAAAATACGATGTAATAATTTGTTATCTTGGCATGTAAAATAGTCTTAGTGTGAGAACCAAAACTCTTCAGGCCCTGGATAAAAATTATCATCAAGCTCAAGAGCAGACTGCCTGCGTCTTCCTGCTCAGCGTACAGGGAAGCGGGCGTGGTCACTCCAGCTGCCTGCCCCAGCCCCCAGGGTTAACAGAGCTCTGACCTCTGTGGACTCCTCTTGCTCGTTGATGACGAGGAAAGCGTCCTCTGCGGCCTGCCGCTTGACGTCCGCTATGGTTTGCTCCATTCGTGCTCTCTCTGTTGCAATCACTTCAAAGGCTTTCTGCTCTGCTTCAGCGACAGCCTTCTGTACTTCTGACATGGCCTGAATTTTCACCTTATTCACAGCTTCTTCTAGAAGAAAGTGACAGTAAAATCAACTGGCCGAGAAATCTTTTCCCTCCCACCCCACAGCATTTCTAAGAAAGGAGCTGACATAAGATGATCTTTTCTAAAACTACACAGGGAGGAATACATGATATTTATACTCATGCATCCATCCATGTAGGTGCTGGCTGGGTACGTAGATGGAGGTGGCCCCTGAGCTAGGACTGTGGATATGGGTCACCAGACACAGGCCACATTCTCATGACATGTTATGTCACTATAAGAGAATAGAGTTCCGGTCAGGCGCGGTGGCTCACGCCTATAATCCCAGCACTTTGGGAGGCCGAAGCGGGTGGATCACGAGGTCAAGAGATCGAGACCATCCTGGTCAACAAGATGAAACCCCGTCTCTACTAAAAATACAAAAATTAGCTGGGCACGGTGGCGCGTGCCTGTAATCCCAGCTACTCAGGAGGCTGAGGCAGGAGAATTGTTGAACCCAGGAGGCGGAGGTTGCGGTGAGCCGAGATCGTGCCATTGCACTCCAGTCTGGGTAACAAGAGCAAAACTCCATCTCAAAAAAAAAAGAGAATAGAGTTCCAAGGAGAAAAGTGATCAGCTCTCCAGTGGGCAGGGGAGAATCAAAACAATGCATTTTGGTTGAGATGGTGGATGGAAATGAGTTTGCAAAGTCTTCGTGCCAGACTAAGAAATTTGACCTCTGGTTTTCTTTTTCTTTTTTTTTTTTTAAAAAACAGGGCCTTGCTCTGCTGCTCAGGCTAGAGTGCACTGCTGTGATCACAGCAAACTACAGCCTTGACCTCTGAATCAGGATCCTCCCACCTCAGCCTTCTGAGTAGCTAGGGCTACAGGCAGGTCCCATCATACTCCGCTAATTTTTAAATTTTTTTGTAGAGATGAGGTCTCACTATGTTGCTCGGGCTGATCTAGAACTCCTGAGTTCAAGTGATCCTCCTACTTGAGCCTCCCAAAGTGTTGGTGTTAAAGTATTATAGGAGTGAGGCACCCTGCCCAGCTTGATCTTATTTTCTAAAGGAAACTTCACAAAAGATTCTATGCAAGGGAAGATTAAAGACAGAGATAGCAACTGGGAGGCTGGTGCAATGATTAAGCTGAGAGAAGAGGCTGCATTTAGGCAGGAGTCAGTGGCACTGAGAAAGAGATGAGGCAGAATAAGTTTGGGAGCACTGGGGGGCCTGGATGTGGAGGTGAAAGAGAAGAATGGCAGTGCTAAGCAAATGCCACACAAAGCTAGTGTGGAGGCAAGTGAGACGGCTGAGGTGCCTCCAGGGCATCTAGGTGAAAAATGGCTCGAGGAAATTCAATAAATAAGGCTAAGAGGCCTCCAGCCACTACTCCCCTCCCCGAAATCCCTGCCAAAAATAAAAAGGAAAAGACTAGGTGGAGAAACATGGGCTAAAACATAGATTTGAGCAGAGTGCCAGGAGCCCTGGACTTTTAAATCCTGTCCACTTACCATCATCCCACCTGGTTCCTGATCACTTCCTTCCATCACCAATGCCCTGCATTATTTCCCTAGTGTAGACACCGCAAATAACACCTTCATGTGTTTGAGCCTCAGCCCAATGAGAATGTGACTCTTTAGTTCTAATATAATAGCTCCCGACATGAGTCTACAAGGCCAGACAATACAGAGGCCTAAGGAAACTCCCTCATGGTTTACCTCTTGCACATGGCAGAGGCTCAAGGGAGGTTCAAACACAGAATTCTAGGCTGCCATGAAACAACTTTCCATCTGATGGCTCTGGCCTTAAGAAAAGAAAGTCTTCATCCCAGAGGCCAAGAAACTTCCTAAGATCTCTTATTAGATCCCTCTTATTGAGCCAGCGTTAACAGTGCTCTCAGGTACATTTTAACTCCTCAGCTTAAGATGAATTAGTAATCATCTCAGTTTGGCTACCTATCATGCTGGAGGTCATCTAAGGTCATAGATGGCACTGAAGCAGAGCAAGGACTCAAATTTAGCTGGCCAGCACTGAAGTCGGGCTCTTAACCATAGTTAACCGAAGGTATCTCCCAAGTAATCCAAGTCACTAGTTTTTCCCCCTCCCCTCCCCCCCCAGTGCTTTTCCAACGTGAATAAATTCAGAAGGTTTAAAGAGATCTTGTGGCCAGGCATGGTGGCTCACGCCTGTAATCCTAGCACTTTGGGAGGCCAAGGCAGGTGGATCACCTGAGGTTAGGAGTTCGAAATCAGCCTAACATGGTGAAAACCCATCTCTACTAAAAATACAAAAATCAGGCTGGGCATGGTGGCTCACGCCTGTAATCCAAGCACTTTGGAGGCCAAGGCGGGTGGATCACCTGAGATCGGGAGTTCAAGACCAGCCTGACCAACATGGTGAAACCCCATCTTTATTTAAAAAAAAAAAATCAGCTGGGCATGGTGGTGGGTGCCTATAATCCCAGCTACTTGGGAGGCTAAGGCAGGACAGTCACTTGAACCTGGGATATTGTGAAACTGTACTCCCGCCTGGGTGGTGAAGCAGAACTACATCTCAAAAAAAAAAAAAAAAGAGAGAGCAATTTTGTGTATAGTAATTGTTCTCTCCACCTTATGATGATCTTTCATTTCCCAAAATTTTATTCCACTTCTTGTTAACATAATATACATTTTCCCATTTTCAACTGCAAGGCTTTTTACAAGTTACATGCAGTTTCCCAAATTGTTTTTAATGGTGAAATCATACTTTGCTGTGCAGCAACACAGGGGCTCACTGCAGCCTTGACTTCCTGTGCTCAAGTGACCCTTCTGCCTCAGCCCCGCAGGTAGCTAGGTCTGCCAACCTTGGCCTCCCACAGTGCCAGGAGTACAGGTGTGAGCCATCACACCCCACCCACACTGTTGCTTCTTTAATACTTTGTGTTTAAGTCGGCTCTGTTTTTGAAAGGGAACATTCAAAGGCATGAAAGTGAGGAAAGATTCCAAGAATTTGCAGGTACTCCGTTAATTTCTTACATAAACCTCTGACCAATTATTGAGTGTCATCAACAAGGTCTTCTAAAATTGTCAATAACTGAGGGCTAATTTATCAGAGATGCTTTATCTTGACTACTAGTAAGGAAAAATATTTTGCAATGTTTATTTGTATTTCTCATAGTATAATGTGTCTGTTCATATCTTTATTTACTACTGTCTTGATGCTATTAAAATAGTCTTTATGAATGTAGGTATTACATTTTTATAGAAATAAATTTTATCTTAGTAAAAAAAACTAAAACTTGTATTGGACTTAAAAAATGAAACTAGGATGGGGAGGCAAGAAGGAAAAGAATCCTAGTATTTGGATAATGTTGATGGTAGAGATGTGACGTTCATCCCCGAACTTACAGAATAGGCTGTCCCCACCCTTCTTATTCTTGTAAAAAGGAGGCCTACCAAGAACAGCTGTGACTATGGTGGCACAGTGAAGGTGAAAGAAAGCACAGGGGGATTACAGAGCTGTGCCCAGAGCAGAATTTGGGTGCAAATGTGGCAGCAGTGTGAACACAGTGTACTGTAGATGCCAGTGAAGAGATCAGGCAAAATGAACACTGCCACTGGCCCAGAAACAGGGCATGCCAACAGGTACTTATTACCTCAGCATGACCCAGTGGAAGAGTGTGAAAGGGACTGGAAGGAGCTATTCCAAACTTCTGACCTGCAAAGTAACAAGACAGGAAGTCGGGGAGACATGCAGAACAAGCCAGGGTGGGACAGGCAGGAGCCTAGAGCTCTGAGGAGCAGGTTATTACACAACCAGAAGACTCAGTTACCAACTATTCGCCCAGTTATCTGTTCTCTGCTCCCCAAAATTAGTGAGTACACATGATCTACGAGCAGTAAGACACATACCTGTTTTTTTCCAAAACTCCACAGGTACGTATCCTGTACCTGGCCTGCTGTTGAATTCTCTCTGAGAATCTGCAGAAGAGACATAAAAAGCATAGGGTCAGAAGCTGTCTATGATCAGATTTCTCTTTAACCACTTAGACTCAAACATGTATTTAGTATATAAAAAAACTCTCATATAAGGGCTAAAAATCAGATTATAACATAGTACAGTAAATATTTAGTTTTAAAACACCCCCCCCAATCAAATTAACAGCATTTCAAAGTGGTGAGATTAAAAATGATCTTTACTTTCTTCTTTTTATTACCTACTATGTCCTAATTTCCCCCCCATAAACATGTATGTGTTTTTAAGTACAGTACTTCCTAAAATATAAATGTATAAACGTTAAGTGCACAGATTTTTTTTTTTTTGAGACAGAGTTTTGCTCTGTTGCCCAAGCTGGAGTGCAGTGGTGCGATCTTGGCTCACTGCAACTTCTGCCTCCTGGGTTCAAGTGATTCTCCTGCCTCAGTCTCCCAGGTAGCTGGGACTACAGGTGCACACCACCATGCCTGGCTAATTTTTGTACTTTTAGTAGAGATGGGGTTTCATCATGTTGGCCAGGCTGGTCTTGATCTCCTGACCTCAAGTGATCCACTGTGCCTGGCCTGTGCACATAGGTATTTATATGCATGTGTATGTATGTCCACATCTAATTCAATAGTCCCCACCACGCACAGGTTTCTGGCACTGCCCTGTATATGTGTCAGGGAATATAGCTTTTGTTTTTGGCAATTCTGAATCCTTACATGTGGTTTAAGGAAGTTTCCATTAAAGTGTCTTAGCTTATGAACTGAACTAAGAAGAAAAAAAAAGTAGTTTAAAAAAAGAAAAGAAACAACCAACAGGCTGGGCGTGGTGGCTCACGCCTGTAATCCTAGCACTTTGGGAGGTGGATGGATTGACTGCCTGCGCTCAGAAGTTCAAGACCACCCAGGGAACATGGTGAAACCCTGTTTCTACTAAAAATACAAAAAAATTAACTGGTGTGGTAGCATGTGCCTCTAGTCCCAGCTACTCGGGAGGCTGAGGCAAGAGAATCGCTTGATCCCCAGTGGCGAAGGCTGCAGTGAGCCGAAACTGTACCACTACACTCCAGCTGGGGCTATGGAGTAAGACTCTGTCTCAAAAAAGAAAAATAAATAAATAAATAAATTTTAAAAACCCCAACACAACTATGATCTGAAATGCTGCATTTCAAAATATGTGTTTTTCCCCAATGAAACATATCAGTGGTTTGCTGGGAAGGACACAGGGGTGGAGGGTGACTTGTCATATATGCTTATTGTGATTTTGAAATAAAATTTAAAAACCCTAATGGGGTATTATTGCCTGTCGCCCAGGCTGGAGTGCAGTGGTGCAATCATAGCTCACTACAATACCCCTGAACTCTTGGGTTCCAGCCGTTCTCTCACTTTAGCATCAAGAATAGCTGGGATTATATGAGCCACCGTGCCTGGTGTCATACAACATATTTTATGGAAAATGGTTCTACTGCTTATGAAGTGTGAAAACTGAAGTAATTTAATGTTGTCAGTATCTGGGTACTACTTTCTTTGAGCTTTAAAAAAAACTGTGTAAAACACATAAAATTTACCATTTTAAACTTTTTAATTCAGTGACACTTAGTACATTCACAGTGTTGTGCAGCCATATCTACTATCTAATCCAGAAGATCTTCATTGCCCCAAAAGGGGACCTCGTACAGGCTAGTAAGCTTAATATTTTGACAGTATTAATACTTTCTGTGAGACAGGGCTCTCTGGAGTGCCATCACCATGGCTAATAAAAGGAAAACAAAAGAGCTCTCTCTAACATAGATCAGGTTCCTGATTCACGTCATTTGTGAAACACCTAGAAACTGAGATCCATGAAATAAACACAGGGAGAAGTCTACAAAAGAAACAGCCACAGAAACATAAATGAAGGAACAAGTACTACATCACTATCAACTTAAATAAGAAAAACTGGTAGGAGAAAGGGTCTGAGTGTACATAACACTCATAAAATAAGAAAATAACATAAGAAATATTTATTTACTCGTGGGGACTTGGGGAAACCTGACAACCAAGGAAAAGCCACCCTGCTTCAGTTATCGGTACGACGTTGGTCATATCCTGTGCATCTGCCTGGTCCTCAGCATTTTTTCTCTGACAAAAGTAAAAGGTGAGAAGCACTTGACACTAAAGGAATCTCTCAGTTTACTCAGGACAGCCTGGGAGCTAGGGATATGTTCACTCTATGTTCAGAAGCCAGAGCAATGGTTCTTATATCTCTAAACCTGAAAGAGACAGAAGTTATGATCTTCAATTGGTTCACTAAGAAAACTTGAGTCTCAGCTGGAAGCGGTGGGTCACACAATAATCCCAGCACTTTGGGGGGCTGAGGCAGATGGGTGGATCACCAGAGCTCATGAGTTCAAGACCACCAGCCTGGCCAACATGGTGAAACCCTGTCTCTACTAAAATACAAAAACTTAGCCGGGCGTGGTGATGGGTGCCTGTAATCCCAGCTACTTGGGAGGCTGAGGAAGGAGAATTGCTTGAATCTGGGAGGTGGAGGTTGCAGTGAGCAGAGATTGCACCATTGCATGCCAGCCTGGGCAACAAGAGTGAAACTCTGTCCAAAAAAAAAAAGGAAAGGAAAGTAGAGTCTCAGAGGCTTTTTCTCCCGAGAACTGATCCTTCTCCTTCATATCCATATCCCATTAGTATCCACAGTGATCTCGGCTCACTGCAACCTCTGCCTTCTGGGTTCAAGTGATTGTCCTGCCTCAGCCTCCTGGATGGTAGCTGGGACTACAGGTGTGTGCCACCATGCCTGGCTATTATTTTTGTATTTTTGTAGAGATGAGGTTTCACTATGTTAGCCAGGCTGGTCTCTTTCAATATTTCTATGTGTTTCAAAAATTTCAAAATAAGACATTAGAAAACGTTATCTTTAAATATGTACATAGAAAATTCTACAAGAATACATTGTTAACCATTAAGCCTATGAAAAGATGTGGGGAGAGGAGAGGCAGCATTTTTACAAATGACTTTGTGTGTGACAGGGCCTTCTTCTGTCACCCAGGCTGGAGTGCAGTGATGTAAATGATCATAGCTCATTGCAGCCTCGAACTCCTGGGCTCAGGTCATCCTGCCTCAGCCTCTCAGTAGCTAGGACTTCAGGCATGTACTACCATGACCACCTAATTTCCTTTCTAAATTTTTTGTACAGACAGGGTTTCACTGTCTCAGCGTTTCCAGGCAAGTCTTGGATTCCTGGCCTCAAACAATTTTCCTGTCTCAGTCTCCCCGAGGGCTAGGATTATAGGTGGAAGCCATTGTTCCAGGCCGCTATATAATTACTTCTCTAAGAATCTACTTCTATGAGATTTAGAATCTCAAATTCTCCTCCTGTGTGTAAACATTTTATAAATTTCATTTCTTACGGAAATCTCCAGCAAGCTTCTGGGCTTTTCCAGCGTGAACCGGGTGCTTTCTAGGCTTGCCTTGCCACTAATGCTCAGGGCTCTCCCTCACTGGCCTAGGGATTCCTTTCCTTCCTTTCTTGTGTTTGATCCTGTTTCAGCAATTCACTGTCTCCCGTTTTCTGATTTACTTTCACAGAGTGAAAGTATCCTATAGTAGATACTGTGAGAAAGGGCAGGCAGGAGGTGTATTTTTAAAAAATTATAGGCTATTGGCTGGGCCCAGTGGCTCACGTCTGTAATCTCAGCACTTTGGGAGTCCAAGGCAGGCGGATCATGAGGCTGGGAGATCGAGACCATCCTGGCTAATCCCATCTCTACTAAAAATACAAAAAAATATTAGCCAGGCATGATGGCACGCACCAGTGGTGCTACTAGGAAGGCTGAGACAGGACAATTGCTTGGATCCAGGAGGCGGAGGTTGTGGTGAGCTGAGATCGTGCCACTGCGCTCCAGCCTGGGCGACAGTGAGACTTTGTCTCAAAAAACAATAATTAAAAAAAATTGCCAGATGCGGTGGCTCATGCCTTTGGGAGGCCGAGGTGGGTGGATCACCTGAGGTCAAAAGAGTTTGACACCAGCCTGGCCAACACAGTGAAACCTCATCTCTTAAAAAAAAATAACACATGGACACAGGGAGGGGAGCATCACACACTGGGGTCTGTTGGGGGGAAATAGGGGAGGGACAGCGGGGGCGGTTGGGGAGTAGGGGAGAGATAGCATGGGGAGAAATGTCAGATATAGGTGAAGGGGAGGAAGGCAGCAAATCACGCTGCCATGTGTGTACCTATGCAACAATCTTGCATGTTCTTCACATGTACCCCAAAACCTAAAATGTGATTTAAAAAAAAAAAAAAGAGGAAAAAAAATAAAAATTTAAAAATTGTAGGCTATTAATCTAACAATTGTTTTGGTTAGGTATAGAATTCTAAATTAAAATAATTCTCCTTCAGAATCGTCTTATTTCAATGATGCTAAATGACTGAGTCTATTTTCCTGTGCTGTCTACTTGTGATTCAACCTGGAACTGTCTTGCAGGTCTTGGTAATTTTTTTGGAATTATTTCAATATTTCAATCTCTCTACTTGTTCTGTTCACTCTTTTTGAAATTTGTGATTTGGATATATGAGTTGGGTAGATTTCTAATGTTCTCTTTTTCTTGCCAGAGGTATTAACAATGCTACATTTTTGGTAATTTTCTTTGCCCTGAAAAGCTACTATTAATTCCTATTTCTGTTTATTTCAGTCTCCAATAGTAGAGGCCTACCTCCAGAGAGTGGGCACCCTTCATGGTGCACACATGCCACTAGAAAGCTGCCTGGAAGCCCTGTGACAATGGATGAGGTTCATCTGCTGTGGGCTTAACTAGACACAGTTTTCCCAAACTTGCCTGCTTACTGAACTCGTTCAACATATATATTCAGATTCTTTTTTTTTTTTGAGATAGGGTCTTGCTCTATTGCCCAGGCTGGAATGCAGTGGCATAGTATCAGCTCACTGCAAGTTCTGCCTCCTGGGCTCAAGCTATCCTCCCACTCAGTCTCCCATGTAGCTGGGACTAGAGGCACATACCACCACACTCAGCATATTTTCCTATTTTTTGTAGAGATGGGGCTTCACTATATTGCCCAGGCTGTTCTTGAACTCCTGAATTTAAGCAATCTGCCAGCCTCTGCCTCTCAAAGTGCTGGGATAACAGGCATCAGCCACCACAGCCGGACTATATTCAGATTTTGAGCCTCAGAATCATGACATCCAGAGAATGGCCTGGAATGTGAGGTCGACTCTCATTCTGAGGAAAAACTGATAGCTGAATAAGTATTTTTTCCCTATTTAAAAATTTTCGGCTGGGCATGGTGGCTCGTGCCTATAATCCCAGAACTTTGGGAAGCAGAAGTGGGTGGATCACTTGAAGCCAGGAGTTTGAGAACAGCCTGGGCAACACAGCAAAACCCTGTCTCTACAAATAATATAAAAATTAGCTAGACGTTGTAGCTTGCATGCTTGTAATCCCAACTACTCATGAGTGTGAGGCATGAGAATTGTTTGAACCCAGGAGGTGAAGGCTGCAGTGAGGCGAGTCCACGCCACTGCACTCCAGCCTGGATGACAGAGCGAAACTGCGTATCGGGAAAAAAAAGTAATACAGAAATTAGCTGGGCATGGCGGCATGTGCCTGTAATCCTAGCTTCTCAGGAGGCTGAAGCAGGAGAACTGCTTGAATCTGGGAGGTAGAAGTTACAGTGAGCTGAGATTGTACCACTGTGCTCTATGACAGAGCATGACTCGGTCTCAAAATAAATGAATAAATAAAAATTTTTACTTGCAAAATATTATATGGCTGACAAGTTCATAAAATGTTAACATGATGAAAATATTAATATACAATTTAATATCATAAGCCCAGTTCAGGAAAGAGAACAGTACCAGCAACCACAAATCCCTAAGAGGCAAGTAATGGCAAGCCACAGTAATATTTAAATAATGCTAGCCAGACCGACAATCCTGTCCTAAGTATAGTCCGAAGACATAGCTAGAACGCACTAACTCTGCACCTTCTGCCCACACAGCCAGAGGAAACTCTTCTGATCTCTGTGATAAGCATTTTCTTCTTTTCCTTATGGTTTTTGCACTTATTTATGCATCCTTTAATAAATACCTAAATACATTCCTTGCTGTCTGAGCAAAATCTGTACATGAAAACACTGTGAATCAAAAATTTTCAGGTAGTGGAACTTACATTGCATTAATTTAAATGGGAAAAGTAATAATGCCATACAAAGCCTCTCGTCAATTTCTCTCTAAATCACCAAAGCACTTTACTTAAATAACTATCCACACCATGGATTTCTGCATAAGCCAAGACTTTCATTTATTTATATAATTTTTTTTTTTTTTTTTTTGGGGCGACAGAGTCTTGCTCTGTTGCCTGGGCTGGAGTGCAGTGGCGTGACCTCGGCTCACTGCAACCTCTACCTCCCAGGTTTAAGCAATTCTTGTGTCTCAGCATCCCAACTATCTGGGAGTACAGGCATGTGCTACCATGTATTTTATATTTTTAGCAGAGACAGGGTTTTGCCATGTTGGCCAGGCTGGTCTTGAACTCCTGGCCTCAAGTGGTCCACCTGCCTCGGCCTCCCAAAGTGCTGAGATTACAGGCATGAGAGACAATGTGCCCAGAGAACATAAGACTTTTTTTTTTTTTGAGACAGAGTCTTGCTCTGTTGCCCAGGCTGGAGTTCACTGGTGCAATTTTGGCTCACTGCAGCTGCCGCAGCCCCCACCCCGCCCCAGGTTCCAGTAATTCTCCTGCCTCAGCCTCCTGGGTAGCTAGGATTACAGGTGCCTGCCATCATGCCCGGCTAATTTTTGTATTTTTAGTAGATACGAGGTTTTGCCATGTTGGCCAGGCTGGTCTCAAACTCCTGACCTCAGGTGATCCTCCCACCTTGGCCTCCCAAAGTGCTGAGTTTTCCTTACAGTCTTTGAGACACTAATGGCTGCCTTTAATAGAACACGCTAGGTCTGTCATAAGAGACTCACTCTCTGTGGTGAACATTTGGGAACTCAGAGTAGGTGGGAAAAGAGTCTGATCACAGATGGCCTGTCACTCAGCTGTGCCTTTGGATAGGGTATCTTCTCAGTTATTGGGTGAGTGTGCTGGAACATTCTGAGAGGAGTAACTGAGGCTTGCTAGATGTACTCTGGATTGCTTCTGCTTCAGACTCAGAAAGGCAAGAGGGGACAACCCAGCGTAGTACAGTAAACCCTTTTGTAGGAGGCTACCAGGCCATGGTAGACTGAGTGGTATTTTCCTGGACAGTGGGCTGGGGACAGGAGGAGGGAAGGTGCATAAACACTTTTAGGGCTACTGTGAGAAATAGAAGTGATGACACAAGAGTGCCTAGTATATCTGATACCCAGACTGAATTTGACAACCAAACATTCTTTGACCAACACCTAGCACACATATATGTAGAGAGAGTTAAAGACAGAACAAAATCACAAATACTCTCCATGAAGAATAATTACCATTTTTTTAACATGCCAGGTACCAGGCTGGGCGCAGTGGCTCAGGCCTATAATCCTGGCACTCTGGGAGGCTGAGGGAGGAGGATCACTTGAGGCCAAGAGTCCAAGGCCAGCCTGGGCAACACAGCAAGACCCTGTCTCTACAAAACAAACACCCCCCACCCCAACCACCACATACCAAAACATGCCAGGGGCTTCATATATATTCTCATTTACTCTTCATAATGACCTGAGTCTCCCTAAATCCACAATTGAGTACCACCTTCCTTTAAAGTAAACTAGAAAAAGTCTTCCGTGACATATTGGTGGGCTCTAAAGGCTGACATCTATTCTGGGTTCCCTGCAGACTCTCCCCCTTACCATTGTTGAGAGAATCTGCACTCCCAGGGCTGTGTTGCCTGGAGACCAACTCAGTCCCCGTTTTCCTCAGCTCTGTGTTTTCATTGTACCGTCTTTTCCAGTAGTTGAGTTCTTCACGATCTGATTCCTGACAGCGCCGCAGAACTGCCATAGAGCGCCTTGTTTTCTCTACCATTTCCATAATGCAATTCAGTGCCTGAGTCAGATAGGAGGGCAGGCAGAGATGAGATGAAAGCATTCAAACAACCAACAGTGAAAATCAAGGACAGGCCAACCCAATATAAGGAATTCAGGTTCCTGATAGGTTTAGGAATATCAAGTTCACATTTGAAACCCTTTATTGCCATCTGTTTCTCCATCAGCAGGAAGGACACTGGTGTTGAGGCTGACATACCTATCGAGGACAGTAACTACCTCAGCTTCCAGTGTTTGGACACAACCTGAGATGCGTGGCCTCCTGACCAACTGTCTATGATTTCATGTTGTTGCAGCATTTGTATCCCTGGGGGCTGCTGCTCTCTGTAAGTTTGCTGTGGCTGAACCATAAAGTAACGCATACACAGATTTCTATAGAAATTATAAATTCTGATGAGATGAGGAAGGCTGGTATCTTTCACAGTGCAAAATAAGTTTGGAATATAAACAATTTTGGGGTGTTGAATTACCTAGATGTTTGTTACTAACCTGTGTTACAAAACTAGGAAACATGAATATGTGGGCTAAAAAACATTGAAAAAATTAAAGTTTCTTTTGACAAACAATTAACAAATGCAGAATAAATCCCATCTTGCTATGCTGCCAAACCAGACTTGAAGTCTTGGCTACTGGGCTTGAGATCCTCCTGCCTTAGCTTCCCGAGTAGCTGGGACTATAGGCATGTGCCAATACGCCTGGCTACAGACCTTTGTTTTTAACCCTGATATATTACATGACTTTATTTGGTTTCTGACCTGAAGTGATCATCCCATCATAAAGATGTGGGAGTGACTTTGTAATTCCTTAGCTGGGGGAGTACTAGCTAAACCAGCTTTTATTAAAAGCAAAGGATGTCATGGCTATGGTTACATTCACTTCAAGCATACATGTTACATTAATTATTGGTATCATTAAGAATCAAAAGTAGGCTGGGTGTGGTTACTCACACCTATAATCCCAGCACTATGGGAGGCTGAGGGTGGGCAGATCATTTGAGGTCAGGAGTTTGAGACCAGCCTGGCCAACATGGTGAAACCCCATCTCTACTAAAAATATAAAAGTTAGCTGGGCATGGTGGCATACACCTGTAATCCCAGCTACTTGGGAGGCTGAGGCAGGAGAATTGCTTGAACATGGGAGGTGGAGGTTGCAGTGAGCTGAGATTACACCACTGCACTCCATCCTGGGTGACAGAGCGAGATTCCATCTATAAAAAAAAAAGGTAATAAAGAGTTAGGGAAATTGAACACTGTAAGATTCTTACATGGTCAAGATGTTTCCATTCATCAGCCCATTCCCTTTCTGTCAAACGATGATCTACCAACTCATCTTGATAGCCTCCATTTAGACCTATTAGAGATCAGAGATTAAATTCGAAGATAGCAGGGAAAGCACAATAGACCAAATTCTGCCAAGTAAATACACACACATTCATAGTGACTTTAAGCGCACTACTAAGGCAATGATTCACAGTAGGGTGCGGGGGGACCCACAAAATGATATCATAACCAACAAAGGATCACTATTCAGGTTATATAGATAACTCTAACAAATCAATTGTAAAACACAAAATAGCCCTAAAGAAAAACAGGTAAAAGAAACAAACAGGTATGGCATACATGGCATTTCACATCTACCATATTGGAGAAATGAAAATGTCACATACTACTAAGTGCTGGCAAGGATGTGGTGCAGGGTGGATGATTAACCACCCAAACTAGAGTGCGTCCTGGGACAGCCATTTGGAAACCGCTTAATATTATCAATAGTTCAAAAACAATGTTTTTAGGGGGGGAAGGTTTTGATACATACTGAAATTTCTATGAATGGAACAACTGTGTGAATTAAGTGTATACCAATAGAATTGTCTACTATTTTGACGAAATCATGTCACATACGGCTACAGTGCTTAGTCTTTGAGTCATTAACACAACACACCTATTACCAGTCTGAATTTATAGGTGACTAGAATTCACAGTGGCTATGTATTAGTGTTAGAATCTGTTAATTTCAGTATACACTGAGTTCTCTGTGATCCTTACAATCTGTCAAAAAATGTAGTAATAAAAGCCAGGTGCAGTGGGGCATGCCTATAGTCCCAGCCACTGAGGAGGCTGATGCAGGTGGGTATCTTGAGCCCAGGAGTCCAGCTTGGGCAATATAGCGAGACCCCATCTCTAAAAAAAACCCACAAATTTGAAAAAATGCAGTTTTTAGCATACTTCTTTCTCAATCAAACTGGCAAAAAAAAAAAGTGTACAGAAGAAACCATTAGCAAGTCAGTTTTGTCCCCCACTGTGCTGTTTCCAACCAAAGCAAGCCAGTTATTAACAGATAAGAGAGAGGCATAAGAGTGACAGCGGTTGAACACTAGGCTAGGTATCGTAACATACTGACAGTGCATCCTAGCCTTGGGCATAAGACAACTGAGGTATGAATTTTGTCTCTGCCAATTATTAGCTATTGATTTTGGCCACATTTCCTTCGTCTTACATCTGTAAAAAGGGATAACAATTGCCTGGGACTCCAGTGAGGATAAAATCAGACAATGTAAGTACAACACAATCTAAGTGGTAGCTATGACTCAGTAAACATTGGTGCTGAGAACACCATGGGGCTACGCCCTTCCCTATTCAGCTACCACCCCACTACGTGACACCAGGGGTCCCACTGTGGCCAAGTGTCTGAAAGATGCTAGTGAGCCTAAGTCAGAGGAAGTGAGGGCAAATATGTTACAATTTCTTACTCCACAAGGTACTCCACAAATGGAAATGAAGGGAAACCCTGGAAGCTGGTAGCCCTTTGGTTCTCTGCCCTGACAGATGCTCAGCAGTTATACTCCAAAGAGCCTTATGCAGAAAATGTGTATGAGTACATGACAAAACACTGTCCAAAACCAGAAGAGGTTTCTTTTGTTTCTTCCTAAATTTAATGGTTTCTGACGGCCCAAGTGCCAGGTATTCCAAATGGAACAACAACCCAGCCCAAGGGGTAGTGTTATCTCCATTTAGAATACTCTTCAGAGGCTCAGAGAGCCCAAGCAACTTGCATGAGATCACACAGCTAGTTAGGATGCAGAGCCAAGATTTTATGCTCACCTACTAACCTAAATGCCCATGAACTTTCACCTACAAGGTAAAATCTTACATCTTTTTTGCCTAATTTTAAAACCTTTTGAAAAATTTTTTGAGGCAGGGTCTCACTCTGTCACCCAGGAGGGAATGCAGTGGCACCATCATGGCTTATTGCAGTCTTGACCTCTTAGGCTCAAGCAACTCTCCTGGCCTTTTTTTTTTTTTTTTTGAGACAGAGTCTCACTCTGTTGCCAGACTGGAGGGCAGTAGCGTGATTTCAGCTCACTGCAACCCCTGCATTCCGGGTTGAAGCACTTCTCTTGCCTCAGCCTCCCAAGTAGCTGAGATTACAGATGCGTGCCACCACGCCTGGCTAATTTTTGTATTTTGAGTAGAGACAGGGTTTCACCGTGTTAGCCAGGATAGTCTCGAACTCCTGACCTCAAGTGATCCATCCCCCTTTAGCCTCCCAAAGTTTTATTTTTTTTTGAGACAGAGTCTTGCTCTGTTGTCCAGGCTGGAGTGCAGTGGCTCTATCTCTGCTCACTGCAACCTCCACCTCCCAGGTTCAAGTGATTCTCCTGCCTCAGCCTCCCAAGTAGCTAGGGCTGCAGGTACATGCCACCATGCCTGGATAATTTCTTGCATTTTTAGTATAGATGAAGTTTCAGTGTGTTAGCCAAGATGGTCTCGATCTCTTGACCCTGTGATCCGCCTGCCTCGGCCTCCCAAAGTGCTGGGATTACAGGTGTGAGCCACTGTGCCCAGCCAGCCTCCCAAAGTTTTTAATCCAATCAGTGGAAAAAAGCAATCATGGTATTATTTGACTTTATCACTGAGTTGGAAAGAAATCCAATAATCCAATCTGAATTTACCATGCTGCTTATAAGATTGCTTACCAAGATTGTGATGTCTATCACGAACTTCTCGGTGCTCTAGCATCTTGTTGGGTTCCCGATACAGGTGAGAAGTTGCAATATCCTCTAAGGTGTAATGCTGAAGAGGTGGAGGGGTAGGATGGAACTGGCCCCCAGGATTCATGAGGGGCACAGTGAGGGCAGGGCTGTGCCGCGGAGCAGGGCTGATGGTACATACTCTCTTGGCAGGAGGCTCAGGAGCAATTGTATCTCTATCAAAATTATTTTCTTCTCTCCTGTAGAAGAAGCAGAAGTGCATATCTGAGTCTGTCAACAAGTGTTCATGCAGACATTTTCAGAGCACCTACTACGTGTTACGTATTGTGATATGCACTGGGGTAAACAGGAAGACACTAAGGCAGGCATGACATGAGGCATGAACTGAGCATGTCAACTGCCGACTGATACCAGCCTGAAAAGAGAGGTCAGATCCACTATAACCGGACAGCAACATGAACCCTCATGAAGCAAAGGAGTGACTCTCCTGAGCTACGGGTTCAACTTGTTACTACGAAGGTGAGTTACTGGAAAGAAACTACATGGGAGGAAAAAGGCTCATATAACAAATAAATCCAACTGGGTCTTTTATTTAAAGCAAGTCAAATTAACAGTGGGTCCAATTGTGTACTGGCAGGGTTTTCAGTCACTCAAACTCAGCTGTAATAAATTTCCTACTATTCTTTTTTCAACTTTCTAAAAAGTGTCATTAAAGCCTATCCACTATTGTTAAACTACTGACGTCTTGGATAACTCATAGAACACTTTGATAGCCACTCATAGGGAGCTTTCTAAAATAAATTCATATTAACTTTAATCTCAGTAAAAATGAGTCACTGGCAAGTATTAATAATTCTATACTTTTTCAAGACTTCTCACATCAGAAAAAAATGAGTTTGTCATAAAAATAATAATTCTCTCATCAAAAAGAGAAAAGATGCATTTGGCAGATTGTATTTCTTTCTTTTTTTATTTTTTAATTCTTTCTATGAACAGCATCCAAGAAAAGGTACAACTGTATTTCTGAGGCTTCTTGAACAGGAGACCCATAAATTCTCTAAAGTAGAGTTTCTCACTGGGTATGCAGGCATCTGAAGAGTTTCTGAAAAATGCTCATGCCTGGAGGCTGCTCCCATAGATTTTAGATGTATCCTGCAGTTTGGTATTGGAAAAAAGCAAAAATAACCATAGAAAGCCTGAGACATTGGGCTGGGTATGGTAGCTCACACCTGTAATCCCAGCACTTTGGGAGGTCAAGGCAGGCGCATCTCATGAGCACACAAGTTTGAGACCAGGCTGGGCAACATGGTAAAAGCCCATCTCTCTAACAACAACAACAACTACAACAAAACCAATAAAAAACCCCACAAATATTAGCTGGGCATCGTGGCACATGCCTGCAGTCCCAGATACTCAGGAGGCTGAGGAGGGAAGAACACTTGCGCCCAGGAGGCAGAGGCTGCAGTGAGCAAAGATTGTGCCACTGTGTTCCAGTCTGGGCGATAGAGCCAGACCTTGTCTCAATAGAAGTCCGAGACATTATAACCACAGCAATCAAATTCTCTTACTTTTATAAGCAAAGGGAAAGGACAGTGTGGTTCCAGAAAGGCAAGGACAGCAAAGTTCATCTGCTCACCTCTCTGGACTGGGCCTCTTCCCGTTTCCGTGTACTTCCATGAGCAGCTCTGAAGAGTCCGCAGGTGATGCAATGCTTGTATTGAGCAGAAGGTGTTCGTGCTGAGCCAGGTACTGGGATGGGGTCTGCTTGGCTGCCCGAGCGCAGTGCAGCAGTTCTCGCTGCAGCAGGGGCAGATTGGCCTTGAAAGGAAGAGGCAGTTTTCCCAGTGTTGGGCCCTATACAACAGGGCTCAGCACCTCAAATGCTTTCACAGAGTAGATGATACAAGATAAAAGCCCTCTTTTCCTTGGCAGTCTGATTTTCACATGCTTCTTCTGTTGAGTATGACACCTCTTAGACTACACTTGAATTACTGGTTCAGTTATTTCTTGCCCCAACCAGATGTAAATCTGCTTAAGGTAGAGACTGTACCTTATTTACCTTTACAGCCGAGTACAGTCAAAGTTCAATAAAAGGTTGTTGAACATAGTAAGTTTAAAATATACACTTCTGAAGACTTCAGTGAGTGAGAGAAGTACTACTGCCTATGTGGGTGTCATTCCAAGCCCTGGTTTCTCTCTTCTGAATCCCAACCCATCTCTGATAGCACTACTCAAGCCTTCCTTCATGTTCTGTATGAGAGCTGCCATGGAATTCTGGAAACTGTGATTATTATGAAACATGGGAGTTTGAAAAGGAGCATTGGGAGTGATGTAAAATGTAAAAAGATAATTCATTAGATATTTTTCTGTCTCTCATATTTAGAAAACCTGTAATAGGAACAAATCACATTTTAAAACCCATACATCTTTTAAAGCTCAGAAGTTGACTTCCTTCATATACAGAATTTACTTTTCCCATGTCTTTTATTAAAAAAACCATAAAGTAGAAATTATATTTTTCTCATCAAATTTAAAAGCAATGCAGGCTGAGCTCATAAGCAAAGGCTTAAACCCAAGGGACAAATGAGTAAGTGAAAGGAGAGTTTTACTACATGCAAGTAGCTATCCCTTCACTGAGGGTTAATTTAGCAGGCACCATAATCAGTGACTGTTTTAAAGCAGAAATAAATTGACAAAACCCCAAATGCTAGCCAAAAAGCTGCCATAACAACCTACCTCATGCTGTTTTCCAAAATAACAGAGTTAAGAATAGGGAATTTGACTATATAAAATTATATATAGTCAAATTAAAGTCTGTTCTATAACCTCAATCTTGTTGCAACGGTAAAAACTTAATTAAAAAAAAAACCACCATGTCAGATCTTTACACTTGTGACATGTCCCGTGATGAATAAAAAACATGCTAATTATTTCCTATTAACACCAATTTCACAAATCTTTCTTAATTCTACAGTCTTGGGGAAATAATTGTCTACCAGATCTGACATACAGAAAGGAGACCGAGATAGAACCAGTACATCTGTTTCAGGGCTCAGGAAGGCGCCACAGACTTCTCAGAGCAGCCAGGGCTTCAATGCCATGAGAACAGAGCCCTGATACAGGCTGTGCACCTTAGACCTATGCATCTTCTTGTGTGTCTGCTGTGCTCCAATATAAAGTTTTTAAAAACTGGTATTAGTACTTTAGAAAGATGACTTATCTGTCTGATGCTATTACAGTTTCTTAGGAAATGAAAGTAAGATAAAATAAAGTAAAAGGGGCATATTTATTTGGCCAGACAGTAAATTTTTTAGACTTTGTTAAGAGGCAAAATTAAAGATATTATACAGATACTCATAAAAGAGAGAAAACCAATTTCCACAAATATTGACAACATTCAAAATACAGAAACAATTGAGTACAGTTTTTTGTTTTGTTTTTGAGATGGAGTCTTGCTCTGTCACCCAGGCTAAAGTGCAGAGGTGCAACCTTGGCTCACTGCAACCTCTGCCTCCCAGGTTCAAGCGATTCTCCTGCCTCAGCCTCCTGAGTAGCTGGGACTACAAGTGCATGCCACCATGGCCGGCTAATTTTTTGTATTTTTAGTAGAGATGAGGTTTCACCATATTGGTCAGGCTGGTCTCTTGATGATCCGCCCAACTTGGCCTCCCAAAGTGCTGGGATTATAGGTGTGAGCCACTGAGCCCAGCTGAGTACATTTTTTTTGGAAAATGATTCTAATCATATTAACACATCAGAGAAAACCAAATCCAGGAAACTATGCCATATTCTGTAAAAATGTCAAGATCACAAACAGCTGAGTGAGTGTGCCAGACTAAAGCGGACTAAAGACACATGACAAACAACGCAACGAGTGGTCCTGAATTAGATCCAGAACTAAGCTCCCTCCCAAGTTTTTCTTTGTTGTAAAAGACATTAGTGGCACATGTGGTGCAGTGTGAATACGGTCTATAGATACGATTAACAGTGCTGCATGAATGTTACTTTCCTGATTTGATAACTGTATTCAAGTATTTAAAAGCATAATGTCTGCAGCTTACTTTTCTTTGTTTAGACAGAATTTTGTTCTGTCACCCAGGCTGGAGTACGGTGACATGATCTTGGCTCACTGCAACCTCTGCCTCCCAAGTTCAAGCAATTCTCCTGCCTCAACCTCACGAGTAGCTGGGACTACAGGCAAGAGCTAATTTTTTTGTATTTTTAGTAAAGACAGGGTTTCACCGTATTAGTCAGGCTGTTCTCTTAACTCCTGACCTCAAGTGATCTGGCTGCCTTGGCCTCCCGAAGTGCTGGGATTATGGGCATTAGCCACCATACCTGGTCTTGCAGCTTACTCTTAAATACTTTTTTTTTAAAAGAGAGTCTCGCTCTGTCACCCAGGCTGGGGTGCAGTGGCACAATGTCAGCTCACTGCATCCTCCACCTCCCAGGTTCAAGCAATTCTCCTGCCTCAGACTCCCAAGTAGCTGGGACTACAGGTGTGTGCCACTGCCCGGCTAATTTTTCTTGTATTTTTTGGTAGAGACGGGGTTTTGCCATGTTGGACAGGTGGTCTCAAACTCCTGAGCTCAAGCAATCCACCTGCCTTGGCCTCCCAAAGTGCTGGAATTACAGGTATGGGCCACTGCGCCTGGCCAAAAGCTTTTTAAAAGGATTATATTCCATGTAAAGAAAACACTGCCTCATTTCATTTATTATTTAAGCATGACAATGCAGAACAATCTCTCCAAAAGTTATGGTCCAGAAAACATTATTGCACAAGACATCTTTAGAAACTACAGTAACTGGGTTTGGGGAGACACAAACACAGTCTTTCTACATCCTCTCCTAACCTTAGAGTAAGTCTAAAATGCAAAGACCTTGCCTTTTGTCCAACAGCCCTCTTCTCAGATACCACACTCTTTGCACTTTGACTATACGCAAAAGATTAGTGCGCAGTTATTTCTTCTGTTAGGAGCTCTACCACCCTTCTACCCTCACACTTCCAGCCCAAGCACCTCCTATTCTCTCCTATGCTAGCTACTCCTGTGTGTTACCAGCAGCATCTGCACACAGACCACAACATAAGACTTTTGCAATTCTCATCTCATAAAATCTGCGGTTTATCTGTTGACTGCACTCAGACCTCTCTAACAGCCCAAAATAAAGATCTAAAAATGTGGCAAACTGCTCTAATTTAAATCACATAACAGGGATTAGCAGAACTTGAGGAAATACTGAAGATAAATTATATTCAGTAATTATTTTATTGAATTACCTTGAGAAATGGAATCACAAAAGGACGAAGGGGGAAGTTTGTGGCTTCTTGGAGCTTACAGTGGAACTCCTCAATTGTCACTGTTGAGTTCTGAAAAGATAAATAACTTCGTTCAACTTCCAAAATTTACAATGCCAAGCTTTTTTTTTTTTTTTTTTTTTTTTTTAAACTTATTTATTTCTTTTTTCTGAGACAGAGTCTCACTCTGTTGCCCAGGCTGGAGTGCAGTGGCTGAGTCTCAGCTCACTGGAACCTCCGCCTCCCAGGTTCAAGTGATTCTCCTGCCTCAGCCTCCTGAGTAGCTGGGTTTACAGGTGCCTGACACCATGCCTGGCTAACTTTTTGTATTTTTAGTAGAGACAGGGTTTCACCATGTTGGCCAGGCTGGTCTCGAACTCCTGATCTCATGATCTGCCTGCCTCAGTCTCCCAAAGTGCTGGGATTACAAGCGTGAGCCAACATACATGGTCTTTTTATTTTTTAAATTTTTAGTAGAGATGAGGTCTTGCTACGTTGTGCAGGCTGGTCTTGAGCTCCTGAGATCAAGTTATCCTCCTGCCTCAGCCCCCCAGGTCGGTATTATAGGTGTGAACTCTTTTAAATCAGGAGGAAAAGGATAACTGCAGGAACATTATCATGAACTCTGAGCCTGGCAAAGGTAAACCATACTGGTTTCTTATGACAGAAATTCACGCTCCTTAATTCCCTTCACCAACACCTCAAATCCAAATTCTCCCCTTTGCCCAGCAGCCTAGGCTGCAGAATAGGGCACTGCCTTTCTTACTAGTCATGAAGAAAGACAGGTCCCCTGATATTGAGGGGTTCATTGCAAGTCACTTCAGGCACAGGGAATCAAGCTTACGACGTTTCCTGTTACAGATCCTGCCTCAACCTTGGATGTCAACTTCAAGACATTTTGGACTCAATAACCCAGAGTCACATTTTCTCGAAAGTTCATTTCTTTTTCAAGTTTTGCCCCCCACCTCCTGGCATAACATTCCCAAATCTTTGAAATAGGAAGTCAAAAAAAAAAAGAAAGAAAAAAAAAAAAAAGAAAGAAAAGAAAAAAGAACAATAGTTTGCCTTCTACCTTCAAGTGGCTTGTATGCATTATGCGTATTACAGTAACTCCCAACAGACAACCCCCCAGCTTTTACTGTTCTGTGGAAGGGTGCACGTCGTCTGTGTTTTCTCAAAGTCTAGGCCTTAAACTAGGAATGGGACTCAGCGACGCTGCTAAGGGGAATGAACAAATAAAAATATTTTCTTCAAAGTTCATAAAACTATGTAGGATAACAAATTAAAACAGACAAAACAAAACAAAACGTGGGGATTATTCTGAATCCCTACATGCTCCCCTGAAAGAGCAATTACCATTTCTAGAAATTTACTTTCAGAAACGTTCCAAGTGTTCAAAAATATAGTATGTAACATGCAACTTACTCACGATTACAATATATTTTCCTAACCAAAAAAAAAAGGGGGGGGGATATATAGATCTACCAACAAGAAACTACATTAAAATTACGAGTCATGTATCAGAACACTTATGGGGGGAGGTGGTAGAGTGGATTTGTATGCATTCATGTGGAAAAGGTATCTACAATACTGTTAAGTGGAAAACAAGAAACAGAAGATTATATTTTCTAAGAATCCACTTATGAAAATAACACACGTGCATATCATGTCATATATTTAATGCCTGGAAGAATAATCACAATAACAGTTATTTCTGAGTATGCAATTATGTTGGATTTTCCAAATATATCGTATTTATTATTCAGTAAACATTAAGATATTTTCCTTCAGGGAAAAGGGGTATGTCCAATTTAAACATGTTATAGTAAAATGTTTCAACACTTTCCCACATTTCATACCAAAAAAATTATTGTAAAGTGAACCGTGTATCTGTTCTAAGTATATGACCTTTGCCCAATACAGCCAAAGAAACCTGTAATTCTGGCAATCAGGAATAAAAACTAAGTGTAAGAGAATGATACTCTTTTATACCTACTGCAAAGGAAGCAATCAGGTTTCATAAAGCAAAAACAAATCGATTAAATGTATGGAAAGACTACTTCCTGAGTAGCTGGGACTACAGGCATACTCCACTGTACCGGCTAAGGAAAGTTTACTTATTTACCTATGTTTTTATGCTTATTCTTAACATTTTCATTTTCTGCACATCCTGGTCTGGGATATATCAGGAAAACACAAAACCGAGGTAACTCACTGCTTATGTAGTCCCGTGGGTCCCACGAGTGAATCTGCCCTTTTCTCTCTACCTTTAAAAGTGGTCATCGTCGTCTTCTTTTTAAAGAGATGGGGTCTTGCTCTGTCCCCCAGCCTCACAATCCACCTGCCTCAGCCTCCTAAGTAGCTGGGACTACAGGCACACACTACCACACCAACTACGTGGCCTTTCTTTGACTTGGCTAAATAAAGTTTCTGCTACCTGAAAGACTGTTCCACTTATGTATGCCCACCAAAATCTTGGCCATACTTTTCATAATAAAGGACTAGACATGATGAAGATGCTTTCTTCAATAGGCAAATTTAATGCTATAAACATGTTAATTCTCCTTGAAAAGGCAAATTTAATGCTATAAACATGTTAACGCTCCTTGAAATAGCAGTTTCATTTATGTCTCTCCGATCTTTATACCTTATTTCCTAGGTTAGAACTTTCAGGATTACACTGAATAGAAGACAGATATCCTTAGGTGCTTCCTAATCTCACAGGAAAAGCTTTCGAAATTTCACCATTAAACATGAGGCTTGCTGTAGAGTTTTGGTTACACGTAAAGCCATCATCAGATGAAGGTAGTGCCTGCTATAACTAGTTTGCTAAGTTTTAAATTTTTCTTGCGATAATAAGTACTGTATATAACAAACACATTTTCTCCCTCAATCCTCGCCCAAATCTATATAATACTTTTAATATCAATCTTAAAGAAAACATCAGCCGGTTAGAGGCATAACACTTGGGAACACTATATGGCACTCAACGCTAAATTTGCACATATGTACAACATATGAAACCACAATTCCACTGTGTGTGCGATGCTTCCACACATGTATAAGAATATTCATGGGAGCATTATTTGTAATGGCCCTGTACAAAAAAAAGAGTTAACATAGTAGGCCTAAAACTGCTAGCCTTAGAAAGTCCTGCTTGTAAGGGTGGGCCATTGGCTGGCATCTAGGACCCTGGATGATAAACAGTTTCCTACAGTGTTAAAACGTTTCTTAACTGAAAAGGTGGCAGCACCCACGTGTCCACTGAGGGATTAACAGATCAATAAATGTGATAGAGACATAAAATGAAATATTATTCGGCCTTAAAAAGGAAAGAAATTCTGGCATATGCTACAACTGGATAAACCCTGAGGACATTGAGCTAAGTAAAATAGTCTAGTCACAATATGATTCTACTTATATAAGGCACCTAGAGTAGTAAAAAGAGACAGAAAGTAGAATGGTTAATTGCCAGGGTCTAGGGAGAGGGGGGAATGGGGTGTTACTGTTTAATTGGTAAAATTTTGCAAGATGAAAAGAGTTTTGGAGATGGATGGTGACGACGGCTGTATGATAATGTGAATATACTGATCATCACTAAACTGCAAACCTAAAAATAGTTAACAGTAAATTTCATCACAATTCAAAAAAAGCAACTACATAAATTCCTCAACCCTGTGATGCTCATAGGCTCTAGGTACACAATGGTTGAATAGGGACACAATGGTGAACAGGACAAACAATATAAATGTATTTCACACCACTGAACTGTATACTTAAAATACGGTTAAAATGGTATTTTCTGTAATGTATATTTTACGATGGGAAAAAAAGTTAACCCAAGTGTGGCCATTTAAAAGAAATAATTGAACACACCTACACATACTTTTCATAACTAAAAGAAGATTCACATTTTTTGCAAATGAATTTTTGACATTTTTACTTTTAATCTTGAAATTATTTTTAAGAATAGATAATACTTGAAGTAATTTGCTGCTGGAATCATCATGATATTTTGATGTCTGCTTTGTTTCCAATTATGTTCAAGCTCATTTTGACATTTAAGGCCAATGACCTTACTCTAGATCCAGTAAGATTTTTCTATAGTAGTCTAAAATTTGAGGAATAAACAGGCTTACAATAAAAAAGAACTATACTTTCCCTAACCGATAAGGGTGACTGTGTAGGGTGGTTCTGTGAGCAAGACGGTTCATGCTAGACACAGGTTTTCCTGCTAAGAGGATAAAATTTGGCAGGTGCTAGGCAAAGAGTGCCTATGTGACCAGGTTCCAACAAAAACTTTGGGTACTGAGTCTTTAATAGGCTTCCCTTGACAGAAGCATTGCATATACATTGCTGTATTTTAGTTGCTGGGGAAAGGGCACTCTGTGTTACCATTCAGACGAGGGAGAGAGCATAAGGACTCCACCTGTGTCTCTATCTCTTTTATGATCTAACTGTGTCTCTTTACTATGCCTCTGTAATCGATCTTAACTGTGAGCACAACTGTATGTCGAGTCCTGTGACTCCTTCTGGCAAACCTCAAAACATAGGGGTAATGCTGAATATGCCAAAACTGTCCCAAATTGCAAATGACTTAAATGTCACATAGTCCAAAAGTATAAACTGTAGTGTATTCCTACAATAAAACACTATAGCAATGAAAATAAACAACCTATACTTATAGGCAATAAGGATGAAACCTCACAAATGATAAAGTCACTTATTGCATTTTGCCTTTTATGCAAGTTCTTTCATAATAGACTGAGAGATTTTTTAAATGTATGTTTTGAGATAAGATCTCACTCTGTCACCTAGCCTGGAAATACAGTGGTGCAAACACAGCTTTCCCAGGCCCAAGGAATCCTCCCACCTCAGCCTCCTGAGTAGCTAGGACCACAGGCATGTGCCAACACACTCAGCTAACTTTTGAAAAACTGTTTTGTAGAGACAGAGTCTCACTAAATGGCCAGGCTGATCTTGAACTCCTGCATTCAAGCAATCCTCTCACCTTGGCTTCCCAAAGTGCTAGAATTACAGGCATGAGACATCACACCTGCACTTAGACTGAGAAATTTTTTAAGGCTGTTTTGTCTCAGAATTCCTCTAATTCATATGGATTGCATTTATTTGCATTACCATATCAGAAATTAAAGCTGAGAATTTAAATAAAATACAAAATAACTGTATTGGTTCAGACTGAGGTGTGATTTTTAAAATCTGTGTTTTCTAAAAGCAAGAAGAGTGGCACTCTTTTATAATTTATGAGTCTCTTTAATATCTAGCATAATAGAAACCAGTTGGATTCTATCTACTTTTGCCTTTAATCTACTGCTATCTCCAGAAAGGATCCTGGGGAATCTTTGGGGTCCCTGGATCACACTTGGAGAACTGCAACTTCAAGGATTAGTGCTGTGATTCATCTTTCTATCGCACACAAAGGGGTTAACATACACAAAGGAGCACAGAATGCTTTCAGTGGAGGTAAATCTTAAAGAATTCAATTAGAAATTGGGAACGGGTAGTACTTCCCTTATAAACACTGAGAATAAAACCCCACCCAGTTGTCAATGTCAGAAAATTACTCCTTTATACCACAGGTTCACCAAGCGCAGTATAGAAAGAAAAATTATGTGTATCTTGCAAATTCTTAAGCAAGTTTATATGCACAAGGAGCTGAACAATTCAATCCCTTTGATACTACTTATTTAGTCCATGAAACTTGTAATTTTAAAAATTATTGTTTTAAAAATTAAACTTGCTACTTCCCTACTCTCCTTGGTTTGGAAACAATGCACTAGGCACTGAATATATGAAATTGCAAAACCTTGCATTAACTTGGTTGGACACCAGTGGGCCTGTTGAGACCAGTTTTAAGAAAAATCCAAAGTTGCTTATGGGAATTAAGAAAATATCATTGATTGTTTCTTTGATAAGCATTGATATAAAATCTACAATTAAACATCATGCCTGTAATCCCAGCACTTTGAGAAGCTGGGGCAGGCAGATTGCTTGAAACTAGGAGTTTGAGACCAGTCTGAACAAGATAGGGAGATCCCGTCTCCACAAAAATAAAAAAAATAGCTGGGCATGGTGGCACGCCCATGTAGTCTCAACTATTCGGGAGGCTGAGGCAAGACAATTGCTTAAACCTGGAAGATCACAGCTGAAGTGAGCTGTTTGCACCATTGTACTCCAGCCTGGGCGACAGAGTGAGACCCTGTCTCAAAAGAAGTATCCTACAATTAAACAGTTTTATACAAGTTATTCAATAACTAGTCTAGTCTGTAGCATCTGCCATATTATTATTAATGGTTTGAAAATGAGCAGAAATATCTAAAACTTCTCTGCTGGCTTTGGATCTAAGCCACATACTCAGGCAGCTGACAACAACAGTGAGGATGTACTTACCACCAGTGCAAGAACAAGAGTCCGCACCTTCTCCCCAATCTCAGGGGAGATGTCATTGCCAAACTGTTGCAGAGTGGTAAGAAAGCGTTTCAACTTGCTGAGCTGTCGAGCACCACAAGTAGCTGGCAACTGCTGATTTGTGAGTGCAGATGATGTGGAAGAGGCAGGACCATTGCTGAATCTCTGTGGTGGTGATGGGGCGCCATTGAGGGTAGGAGGAGAATGGTTGATTCCATTGCTTACTAAAAGAAAGCCAAAATGAAAGACTCAGGTTACGTGCAAAACAACAGGACCTTTGTTCATTTTTTTCTTGTTTGTGTTCTCCTTCATTTGTTCATTTGAATTTTGTAAAGCACATGTTATAAAAGTATGCAAAATTTGTTCTGTCCTTAATGAGAATGCTGTCAGATAAAAGTGATAACAGAATAACACTGGAGTTTTAAAAAGAAAGCAGAGTGCTCCAAGAGCAATAAGGGACATCTAACTCTACAGGTGCCATGGGCAGGGGTGCCCAGTTTTAAGAAAGACTTCCTGCAACAGGTAGTACTTGAGATGAGTCTGGTCCAATAGCTCTTTCCAGTGATGGGATACTCATATCCATCTTTTGCATCACATCTTCTTCCCAATTTCAAGATCCCCAAAACACCAGTCAGTCAATCAGAAGGTAGCATGAGAGCAAGACACCAGAAAAAAGGAGTTATCATAATGTGAGGGATATTTTTTAGGCCTACTGATTTAATGATTTATTCCTACAATAAGATACCCATCTCTTTGGCCATCCAGAATACTCACGCCCATTAAAGCAAGTAACTCTCTGACTTAATGGTACTAGATTAATACGCCAAATTCTTGGCCATTCAATAAGGCATCTTCCTGATTCCATGCAGGACACTCCCATCCTACATTTTTGCTCAAATTATAATACATTGATTAATTAGTTTTCCTATTTTGTTCTTAATAGTCATTTCCTGATAATTTTAATTTGGAAAACAACCCTAGAGCTATGGTTTTGTTTTTTGAGGTAGGGTCTCATTCTGTCATCCAGGCTGCAGTGCAGCAGCACTATCTTGGCACATGGCAGCCTCGACCTCCTGCACTCAAGCATCCCTCCATCTCAGCCTCCTGAGTAGCTGGGACCACAAGAATGTGTCACTACGTCCAGCTAATTTTTTTTTTTTTTTTTTTTGTAGATAAAGGGGTCTGACTATATTGCCCAGGCTGGTCTCGAACTCCTGGGCTCAAGTAATCCTCATGCCTTGGCCTCCCAAAGGCTGTGATTACAGGCATGAGCCACTGTGCCTGGCACTGAGCTATGTTCTTGTTGGCACTGAGTAAAAACCTAATTGATCTAGTACCTAAGTGTCATTCTGTTTTCACTTAATCATGAATCGGCTTTAAAATACTAAGAAAGTGAAATTGCATCTAAAAACATAAGAAACAATATAGGACTTAAGCAGTAATTAAAGGGTCAATCATTTCATCTTTACCTAGCTTAGAAAAATGACATTTAATCACATTTTGCCAAAAACAAACTTATTAATCATAAAAATTCTTCCACTTCCTTCCGACTTCCTCTAAGCCAGTCACAGTTAACCATTTCTGTTCCCTCTTCGTACACTGAACCTTACTCACATTTGACCTGGCAAGCTCTTTTTCATTCCATATAGTTCAGGTATCATCTCTACTAAGGAGCGCTCTTTGACACATGCTGCTGCTGCTCCACTTGAAGGTCAGCCTTAGTGTATTCACTGTATCTCTGTGCTGCCTATGTGCATGCTTCCACCATTTTACTTCCCAAATTATGCTTGTTTCTTTCCCTGTTTTTTTTGAGATAGAGTCTTGCTCCGTTGCCCAGGCTGGAATGCAGTGGTGTGATCTTGGCTCACTGTAACCTCCGCCTCCAGGGTTCAAGCGATTCTCCTGCCTCAACCTCCAAGCAGGTGGGATTACAGGCTCGCACCACCACACCCAGCTAATTTTTTGTAGTTTTAGTAGACAGAGTTTCACCATGTTGGCCAGGCTGGTCTCAAACTCCTGACCTCAAGTGATCTGCTCTCCTCAGCCTACCCAAGTGCTGGGATTACAGGTGTGAGCCACCATGCCCGACCTATGCTTATTTCTGTATTTTTGTTGCCTTATTGACTAATACACTACACAACACATATGTGCATACTACAATTACGTTTTATAAACTGTGTATGCGGTGTATATTTTTGCTTTGTTCATTTGCTAGCAAACGGTACCTGTTCAGGAAAATGCTCCTGAATGATTCACTGTATAAAAGGCTAACAGACTGAGAAAAGGGGTAAATTTTCTTCTGTGTCTTCCATTAAAGGAAATTACTAAAGCTACTAGAAGGAAGGTTCAACACTCAATCTCAGCAATCCCGAAAATTAGTTGCAATGGTCTGCCATTTCTTTGTTTTCACAGAAAGGTCGATTGTCATTGGCAAGCTGTTCCCTTTTGAAGGAACCCATAAAAAGAACACATTACCATGCTTTTAGCTACTCTGATGCACAGGAAGGCTTTTTTGTAGTCTCTTTAGTAAAAACTGTATGATCACATTTTCTGAAATGAAACATCCACCTCCAAGCAGCCAAATATGGAAGTGAAAAGGACTGCATTTATATATACATGTACCTATGGGTGTTATCTTGAAATCTGATTGATGGCCAAGATTTAAATCTGTTTCTTTTCAAGATAATATATATGCCTAGGTCTGTTTAACTTTGAGATAGAAATTAGAATAAAAAAAGGGATATTGTACTTCTTTCCATCCACTCTGGCTCAAACTGAACGCTGCAGTTGCCAGCTACTCAATTTCAAATGTTTTGGGAAAATAATAAATTTCCAATTAACACTGTACATCTTACATTCTCTTACTCACAAAACACAAAGTTTTGAGCAAGGACAGTGTGCAAGCTTGTGTAATAACATTTAAATAAAACAATACCTATAGCATCTAGCTCAGTCCTCTGACACTTTTTGGGCATTCCACAAATAGCAGTACATTCTGGTTTAGAGGCAAAAGCTCTGCAGAGTGTCAATGTGAACTGGAGGCGGCAGCATGTGTATGGAAAGGCATAACTCAAATGAAGATCAAGACACATATGTGCAGCTGGGCGTGGTGGCTCATGCCTGTAATCCCAGCACTTTGGGAGGCCAAGGTGGGTGGATCACGAGGTCAGGAGTTCAAGACCAGCCTGGCCAACATGGTGAAACCCTGCCTCTACTAAAAATACAAAATTTAGCCGATGCCTGTAATCCCAGCTACTCAGGAGGCTGAGGTAGGAGAATCGCTTGAATCTGGGAGGCTGAGGATGCAGTGAGCCAAGATCACACCATTGCATTCCAGCCTGGGTGGCAGAGCAAGACTTCATCTCAAAAAGAAGACAAGACAAGTCAAGATATATATGTACATGCATGTATACCAGATTTTAAGGTGAAGTTTATTTGGGGTTATTTTGGTGATTATCGATATATAGGACTGAAATTGTTCAGTTACAGGGTATGTGGAAATCCAGCGTTAGTGCACACTGCCAAACAATTTCCAAAAGTGGATGTACTAAATTACACTCCAACCAGCATTGTTTCAGTGTTCAAGCTGCTCCACACATCACCAAAACTTGGCATCATTTTGAACATCCTGGTGCATGTATAATGATATTGTATTGGGTGTTAGTTTCCATTTCCTTGATGGTTAGTGAAGTTGAATATCTTGCTACATATATTATTAGCTAACATAATGCTTATGGACTGAATTCTGCCCGAGTCTTGGCCAAATTCACACACTGAAGTCTTAACTCCTTGTACATCAGAATATGACTATATTTGGAGATAGGGACTTTGAAGAGTTTATTAAATTTAAAAGAGGTATTATGAGTAGTCCCTAATCCAATACGATTATTGTCCTTATAAGCAGGGGAAGAGACACCAGGGACGAACGCAAATGGAGGAAAGGCCATGTGGGGATATGGTGAGAAGGTAAACATCTGCAAGGCCAAGGTAAAACCAAACCTGCCAACACCTTGATCTTTACATTCTTCCTCCAGAACTATGAGAAAGTTAACAAAAATAAATTGTTCAAACCACCAGTCTGTGGTATTTCATTACAGTAGCCCTAGTAAACTAACACAACAATATCCTCTTTTGTAAACAGCCTTACCATGACAGCACTAGAACATTTTTAGAATTAATTCTGTAATTCTGGAAAACTTACTTTGAATCCCAGAAGTCAATATAATAATTTAAATTAATTACTGCTAGAGTCAAGGAAATAAAAAGTTACCAAAGAGCATGAAAACAAAATATTTAAACAACTAAATATCCAAATAACTAAGCTAAGTATTATTTGCAGAGGGTGTCTGTAATTCATAAAAGAAACAACCAGAAATAATATATCTGTGTCTATGTTTTCAATAGCACTTTGAAAATACTGAATCATATATATGAAAGGCTTCATGCAAGTCAATCACTTAGATCCAAATGTCACTCTGAACTACAAACACCAGTAACTAAGAGGTCTCACATGCTGTAGGAGTGAAAGACACCGGCCTCGGTCCTCCAGGATTTATTGGTGGGAGGGGCGGCATGGTGGGAGGTGAGGATCTGGACTGTATCTTCACTTCTACAGGCGATCCAGGCATTGCTGGCACCCTTTTCTCAGGACCAACTGCAAAGAATCAGAGAAATGGAGGTTAGAGTTTTCTATAAGGTTGCAAAAATAGATAACAATTTGAAATATCAACTTATTTTCCTAGAGGACTGTGAATATACTTAGTATAATGGGCTGAACAGTTACTCCCTAAAAGATATGTCCAAGTCCTAACATCTGATAATGTGAGTGTTACCTGATTTGGCAAAAGGGTCTCTGAAGATGTCATTAAGTTAAAAATCTTGAGAGGAGGAGATCATCCTATATTATCTGGGTGGGCTCTAAATCCAATCTGAATGGTGTCCTTAGAGAAGAGACGAGACACAGACACATATACAGAGGGAAGCCAATGTGAGGACAGTCACACTAAGTGGTGACAGAGGCAGGGACTGGAGTGATGCATCTACATGCTGTGAAGTACCAAGGAGTGCCAGCAACCAGCAAACCAGGAGGGAGCAAGGGACATATTTGTCCTCTGAAGTCCTGGAAAGGAATCCACCTTGCTGATAACTCAGTTTTGGGATTCTGAACTGTGAAAGAATAAATTCCTATTGTCTTAAGTCACTCAGTTGTTGGTACTTTGTTACTTCAACCCTGGCAACTAAAATGAAGAAACAGGGTCAAGGGGTGGCGTGAACTGAAAGTTAGCAGTCTCTAGATAGTGGCTGAGAAAGGAAGAAACTAGGTTACAAATGTAGCTTACGTCGAATGCATTTTTTTAACTTCTCCTTATAAATGAATTAAATTAGTAGGGGGAAAAACTAACATGGGAACTAACTAGACCTAGGCCTCAACTGCATGACATAAAAATAAAATCATAATCAGCTGTATATAAATCACCATTAATAGGCTGGGTGCAGTGGCTAACTCATGTAATCCCAGCACTTTCAGAGGCCGTGGTGGGTGGATCACCTAAGGTCAGGAGTTTGAGATCAGCCTGGCCAACATGGTGAAACCCAGTCTCTACTAAAAATACAAAAATTAGCCAGGTGTGGTGGTGGACACCTGTAATCCGAGTAACTTGGGAGGCTAAGGCAGGAGAATTGCTTGAACCTGAGAGGCGGAGGTCACAGTGAGCCAAGATGCGCCACTGCACTCCAGCCTGGGCAACAGAACGAACCTCCATCTTAAAAACAAACAAACAAAAAAACCCAAAAAAAACCTCACCATTAATAGTGACGTACTAGATTACATATGTATATACATATCAACTACATCAAGAAGGAAAAAAGAGGTGGAGCCAACCTCTCTGACCTCAAAGCATGTAAATGTCATTCATGTTATATATTGTTCAAAAAGATGAAAAGTAGAGCTGATTCTACATTAAGCAGATGCTGCTTCATCCATGGGAACAATTAATAATAGGCATCTGTTGGATAACATTAAATGTCAACAAAATTCCAGAAAGATAAATTAGATAAACTTCATGATGTTACAATTTGGTAGGTCTGAGCTAACAGGAATCAGACTTGATACCAACGAGTAATATTCTTTTTTTTTTTTGATACGAAGTTTCGCTCTTGTTACCCAGGCTGGGGGGCAATGGTGCGATCTCGGCTCACTGCAACCTCCGCCTCCTGGGTTCAGGCAATTCTCCTGCCTCAGCCTCCTCAGTAGCTGGGATTACAGGCACGCGCCACCATGCCCAGCTAATTTTTTTTGTATTTTTAGTAGAGACGGGGTTTCATCATGTTGGTCAGGATGGACTTGATCTCTTGACCTAGTGATCCACCGGCCTAGGCCTCCCAAAGTGCTGGGATTACAGGCTTGAGCCACCGCGCTCGGCCCAACAAGTAATATTCTAATATATCTAAGAAGTTATTTTTCCCTATCAAAGAGAACTCTTTACATACTTGGTTAATAATAGGACCAGGGCTACCATAATCACCTTTAAATTGTGCTGTGCTCCTCACAGTAATTCTAAGCTTTTCACTTAAGTACCCGACATTCATTCTCCAAAAACTACTGAATTCAAATTAAAGTGCAAAAAATGGGCAGCAAAGGCTCAAATGAGAATGTTAAGTCCTGTTTTCTTTCTGTGAGAACACAGCTATAAAGATAACACATACAAGTGTTCACAATCCTGGCAACAAGGAACATCTTTGCTGTTTTGAACAGCATTGATGAGATGCTTTTTAATTTAAAAAAGTATCTCCAAATACTATTTTTCTGTTTCAGTTTGCAGTGGCCATACTTTGTAAAGGGATAAAATAAATAAAGTCAATCAAGAAAGCAATGCCTCCAAGTTACAAATCCACTGACAAAAATGTGCGGTTCTCAGAACCATGAGGGCAACACTCTGCCAGCCCTTCCCATCTCTCTGTTCAGGACATTTTCTTTGTGAAATTGATGGTCGTCCTGTCTGATTAGGGGACTAATGAGCTGTTGCGCTTGCCTTTTCTTCTTGGCAGTATTTTCTCAATGCCCTTCAGAGAAGAGTTGACACATTTCCAGCTCTTCCATCTGGGGCTCAGCTTTCTGGAGGGGTGGGGGAGAAGGAAAGGAAGGAACTGATGGTTGTCTCGCACTGTAATGTGTTGTGTACAGTGTGTAACAACCTGGAGGGAGCCTTTCCTCAGCCACCTGGCTCTATAGCAAGAGTGCCAAAGGCTTGAGGAGGTCTTAGCAGTGAGATGAGCTTTAACATTCAGCACTTGGGAGAATAAAAAAGTTAGAACAGCCCAACTGCAGAACACTGAATTCTGTGCTTTTACCAACCAAAAGCTTTGATAGTGGGCAAAATCCACCTGCTAGAGAACTGTTTACAAAGTGATACTTTTTGTTTCACCACCCAAAACCTACAAAGTAGTGTTTTCTTCGTGTTCCAAGCAAATAAAGCAGAAAAAGCACAGGTATGAAGACTGAGAGATTTGGTGTAAATTCTCGTTCTGTTACAACACACGTGAATTTTACCAATTCATTTCACCTTTCCAGGCCTCATTCTCAACTTATGTAAAATGACTGACAGTAAGATCTACCTGTCAGGAAACATGTAATGATTAAACATGATGCCTAAATCAGTGCAAGGCATAAAGAAGGTGCTTAATAAACAGGAATAATGATTAGAATACAAAATTCCTGGTGTCAAATTCTGGACATACTATTAACTAGGTATGTGACCATGACCAAGTTAATATTAACATCTGTTTCCTGTAGAAAATGGGTATACTATCAACAATGTATCCATGTAACCTCGGAGATATTATATGGAATGACCCAAGAATTAATTGCTGCAAAATCACCACGTACAATGTAAAGTCGTATTTTTGCTGGAGGCTAGGTGCCATGAATGCCCTTCATGGAGTAAGATCTATCCAAGTGGTCTATAAGATGATATATTCAGCAGCTGCTCAGATGATGGGAATAGGATATGTTCCAAAGTAGGCATTTTAACCCTCTGCTTGGGGTCACAAGTAGGATTATAGTAAGTCCCTGTAGGAAGAAAGCTATGACATGCCTTTATGTCATCCTAGTCACGGTGACTTCCTTTTTGAATTTTTATGAAACTGATAGTTATGTGTTATATTCTAGCTGGATCCCATGAAAGAACCAATCATATATTGAAGTCTTTTCAATCTCAGAGAAGAAGAAATTCCTTTCCTTCAATTGTGGCTTGAGTCCATAAACACTACTGCTTAGGATATCAAACAGCCATAAAGATTTTGTCCCTGCTTTGAAAGGGTTTCACACTGTAATGAAATAAATAAATAAATAAAAATAGAAAAAAAAAGGTTTAGTCCCAGGAAGCCAAAATAACCCTTAGTTTTGTCATAAGTGTCCAACTCAAATCTAAATTCCAAGTAACTGACAGTCACCCCATGATTTTGTTTTGATTATTCTGAATATATTTGTGTATGTGTGTGTATTACAAATACATGTGTGCATATATTAAAAAATAAAACACAGATATGACCACATGTATTACACCAAAATCACTGACAGTTCAACACCTAAACCATGGGAAGCCAAAGAACTTGAGTCAAAATGGAAAAGTATGTCTGAATCATTTCTTCATTGTGTGCAATTTGCTAAGGATGTCACGAAAAAGAAAACAGATGAAAGAATAAAGTAATAATCAGCTCTCTGTGTGACAGCAGTGATATTTTTTCCTACATAGGAATTTGAAGAATCAAAGATGAAACTAAAGGGAACGATTCTGTAGCTCCACAGGAAAGTTACATTGAACAACCAGCAGTCTCCCTCTCATCTGCAGTTTCAGTTACCTACAGTCACCCAAGGTCCAAAAATATTACAATTCATAAGTTCTATATTGAGCACCATACTGAATAGTGTGATGAAATCTCATGCCATCCCAGCCAGGATGCGAATCATCCCTTTGTCTGGAGTAGAGACCATCCGCCCATAAGTCACTTAGTAGCTGTCTTGGTTACCATCAGAAGAACTGTCATGGTGGTGCAGTGCTTGTGGTCAAGTGACCCTGATATTACTTAGTAATGGCCCCAAAGTAAAACAGCAGTGATGCTGGCAATACGGATTCACCAAAGTGAAGCTGTAAAGTACTAAGTAAAAACGTGGAAGTTCTGGACTTCATAAGGAAAGAGGAAAAAAAATCATATGCTGCAGTTGCTGACATCTACTGTAAGGAGGAGGAAAAAAATTTGTGCTTGTTTGCTGTTACATCTCAAACAGCAGACGTTACAGCCACAGTGCATGATATAGGCTCAGTTACGGTGCAAAAGCAATGTATGTAGGGTTCAATACTTCCCATGGTTTCAGGAATCCACTAGGGGTCTTGAAACATATTACTTGGGGCTAAGGGGGAACCACTGTATTACAGACAGACATCCCAGAAACATGCTACTTGAGAAGAATCATCTATGATAAACTGCCCACAAACAAGGGCCTTTACAAATCATTACAAATTGCTTTTGAGGGTTTTTTGAAGGTTAAAGACTGGCAAACAGCAGAGATGTAGATAAAGATAAAAAATAATGCCATTATCTGAAGGGAAAGGCTACTCCCAAGCAACTGGAAAGAAGAAAAACTTCTAGGTCTCA